GTTTGAGGTCGGGAAGTTCGGTCTGGCATTGCTCCATAGTAGCGCGAGTATGATCGCCCACTCTCTGGCGATCCAATCAAATTGTCAGGGCGGGCTTTATACGATGATGGACAGATGATCAACAGTAACGTTATCAACCATGTGACCAAAGCGCGCTTGGGTGACAACAATAATGGCTGCCGCCAGAGAGTTGAGGTGAGTAGATTCTGCTATTAGGTCTGTTCTAGAAGATATCGACAGCAAATTAATTTTAAAAGAGGAACAGAGAAACGCGATCAAGGCTCATCTTCTTATTCTAGGCGTGCAACTGCACGCTTTGATTTTTGTTGACAACAACTGTGCCTGGCTTAACATACGTCACGCACTCCGTTGCTCTTATTGGTTGTAGGTCTATCCAATTGGGTGCAGAGGCATTTTTTTTCCTGGTTCGTTCAAAACACGCCCCATAATCACAGCTCTATGGAGCAGTATCAGACTCATATTCTGACTAGAATTGAGTAGGACTACGTCAGGCTAGAAACTTCCAGAGCAAGATCTTCATGTGTAAAGACACATTGCTTACAATCTGAAAAATGCTTTGTTCATGAAAAAAAAAAAAAAAAAAAAAGATTTATTTGATAATAATACTTATCAAATAAAAAAGCCAAGTATAAACTTACTGGGAAGGTCTCATTGACGACCTCCTCAGGCTGTGCATCACCAGGTTGACTACCTGCAGTCACTGCAGCTTTGCTGGGACCACCCGACCCGCTCGCACCTCCTCTCTTCCTGGGAGTGTCCCTGAAAGCAGACGAAAGGTTAATTAAAGGGAAGGCTGCTGATTAGACTATTAGACAAATTAGATAAACAAATATTCAGCTATCATCTCTTATTTAATTGCATTTCTCAGAGACATACATGATCAAATACAAGCAGAATTAAACAGAACTTCTAACCAGCAGATAACTGGCTTGGATCACATAAGGTGTAACAACAAAACAGAGCAGGGGAAAACTGGTAAAAACTTATGTAACTGTTCACCTTGTGACAAATATCAAAATACATTAATAAGTGAGGTTCTTGCTAAGGTTCTTTTGTTTTGATAATATTACCCTTATTCCAACCCTCCTCTGTCGCCTTTCTGTTTGTTACGGCAATAGATTCCCAATTTACCCACCTTAACAGTATTTTTTTTTTTAAATGCCGTTTGCCTTCCTTACCATTTCCTTCGACCAGGAGAGACTGGGCCTGAAGTGAGCCGATGCTCTGTGACAACTACTTGTATGGGTGAATCTCCTGTGAAATAACAATAAAATGTTCTTCGATCTATTAAAGTTGCTGACGTAAAAAACAAAAGCAAACTTTGACACGAAAAGAGCGTTTTAAAATTGAGGTGCACAATTTGTTTCAACATCCAAACAAAGCCGCCAAAATACTTACGGGGTGTATTGAGTAAGCGGCTGCCATCTTGGACCGGCTGCTGTGCCCCACTGCTTGGTGCCGGTCGGCTCAGAGGGCTGCTGTAGCTCACAGGAGTGGAGTGGCCCAGCATGCAGTTGGAAGTGTGCGCAGGGCCGATGAAGGAGCTGGTTTCAGAAACAGAGGAGCAGAGCACACTGCTCGAAGATGTCACAGTGAGAACCTGCTGCCTCGCCATGTTTGCCAACCCGATGCGTGAACGTGCTGCAAAGAACAGAGGCAGGCGAGTGAACACAGATGTTGACGGGACACAATATGCTGCATACAGCATGCTGCTAGTGCACGGATGCTACAGTCATACACTGACAGTTGACTTTTACTGTTGACCCTGAAGTTTTCAAACTCAATAAATAGGACAACATGCGATTTACACACTGCTTAGAAATATAAAAACAACCTGTGTCTTTTTTCCTAAATCAACCTCATCACTCTATGAATCCATGAGTCATGCAATAAAGTACTACTTGAAAAACAAAACAAAAACATATTGGTATTTAACCATTAATTAGATTCCCCTCCACACACACAAATTTATAAATCAATAATTTCAGATTTGGGTTGTGTGATAATCAAACTTTCAATTTCAATGTTGGTTCTTACTGATACAAAGAAAAACCTGACAGATTATTGTTAAAATATTTATGCAAGAGTGAAAGTAGAAAACCTTTTTTTCTAACTCAAAAAAAGATTAAGTCAGTTTTGCTCTATATAATGTTGGACAACATTAAACTTGCATTTCTTAAAATAGCAATTTTAAGAAAGCCATAACGTTCCATTCTACTTTATCTAAACTGACCCAAGTTTGCAATAAACTAATGAAGAATACATGAATCTGCTAAAAGCAGGAGATGAGATTCTGACATGTTAAAAATATGTAAAGAGTCTAATAAAACAATAAATTTACGTTTATCTGGAGGAACTCGTCAAGCATCTTGTAATAAGCAATCTTTCCTCAGGGAGACGATTTTGCCAAAATTCAAAACTTAGATTGTGATTCTATTTGGATTTTCCTTTGCACTAAACCCTAGTTTATAGATGATTCACCCAGGATTTCAGTTTTTGAAAGCTTGCTTGCCCAGATTCCATTGTTACAGTATTTTACTGTAACCACTGTGTGAAAAACTGCTTACTTCTACTTTGGTGTATGGATGTTTGTGTTAGCTAATAATATTATAATAATTAAACTTTATTAATGTCACACTGAAGAGTTTTATCTCTGTATTTAACCCATCCCCTTGGGGAGCAGCTCCCCAGTTGCCATTGTGCGGCACACGGGGAGCAGTGTGGGGTTCAGGGCCTTGCTAAGAGACCCCAAGTGGGTGTGGGGAACGAACCAGATACTTTTAACCTTCTCAGAGCACAAGCTTTACTGCTCTAACCCATAGGCCAACACTCCTCCCAGCTACAATTTTCTCTAGCTTTCTGTGTGGCAACAAACCCATTTAAAGCTTTTTACCACCCCCTAAAAGGCTGGAGAGTGGATCTTAGTGTCTAACTCCTTTTAAATATAGCGTGATTAAAAATCAGCGTCTTTCCAGTTTTTAAATTTGCATTTTGTTATATTGCGAATAATATTGCAAATGCAATTAATTGCCCAGCCCTAGTGGTAACCCATTACGGTCAACACCAATAATGCAAGGCAAGCTTATTAATCTATTCACCATCCTTGATCTTATGTACCTAAAAATATTTTTTTCAAGCAGACTTTTCTGCAAACATAAGAAAAGCTTGGACTTCTTTCAGCCAGCTGACCAGGACTGCACAATACCAGTTAGAGAACAGGCAGTGCCTTATTATATATTCTCATTAAAGGGGCTTGAATTTTAGGAACAATATGAAGTTATGTTTGGAAACATAACTAAATAAAACCTCAATATTCCCAGAAAGCAGATAACAGGGAGTGGCGGCCTAGTGGTTAGGGCATAGAGCTTGGAATCCTTAGGTTCTGAGTTTGAACCTCACTCCCACAGACTGTCACTTTGGGTCCCTGAGCAAGACTCTTAACCACACACTGCTCCCCTGGCACCCAAAAATAGCAGCCCACTGCTCCCCAAGAGGATGGGTTAAATGCAGGGAGTACATTGTTCTGCACTTGTGACAGTGTAATGACAATAATAAAAAAAAAAAAAGCTGGAAAACAAATCTGTTTACTCTGTATTATTGAACATAAAAAGAGACAATGAGATTAAAACAATCGAACGTACTTCGCTGACTTGAAGAAATAGCAGGAGAATTCTGCAAAGACCTAAGAAAAACAACACATGTATATTAAATCACTAAAATGCACTTCAAAACATTAAAAGACCTAAAAATGTCAATCTTTCTGTCATTACTTGATTTGATTGATGGTAAAATCTAGCTTTTTCCATAATGATGTCATCACAAGAGGGACTTCATGTCTGGACTCTTAAAAAAAAGATAATAAGACAGTTATTAGCATCTGGTTAAAGATGGCACATAAATACATAGGTGTTTTTAAACATCAAAGTGAATTTTACCTTTCGATTTAGCAGCCACATACTCGTTCAAGATGGCTGTTAGTCCCTTCCCAAAAATAGACTGTGAATGAGTGAAAAGACAGTTGCTTAATAGCTTATCATGACAATAATCTGGGATTAAGTGGCAGGAAAATCTGTGTGGTTCCTCAGACTTACAAAAACACAAGCAGGGATGGTGCCATCCCCTGTGGTGTGCTCGGCATACTCCTTTAGGTTCGGGCTCTCATGGATGAAGGCTCGGCTTGTAGCAGGCAGCCCCTCTTCCTGAAGATACCCTAGAGGAAAAAGAACAAAAAACGTTTAAAAAAAACTCTCACTCATAGATAAACAACTGTGCCCAAATAAAGCTGCCCTGTTCCCATTCCATTATGGCTGCTAGCTAACGCTAGAGCAGCTGTAGCTTTATGTTCGGCTTACCCAAAACAAGCCGAGCGACGTCAGAAGGAAGTAACATGACAACCGATTAATTAAACTAAAAAAAAGGTTATTAAACAACTACATATTCAAAGAAATGCTAATAAAAGTCGCCGCGTATCCCGACATTAAAATACGTGTTTTTTGTGTTATTATGAAGGCGACATCCTGACAAAACTCCTGCTTTCTCAAACGGCGGGGAACTCAACCACCCGGAAGTAGCAAGTTAACGTGTCGCTTGGATTTCTGGGAGTTGTTGTCCATTCTTAATGTTTAAACGTCCAAATATACATTAATATTCCATGTGAACATACATATATCTGATGTTTGGGAGTTAATGCAATACTTAGATTAATGAGGGACCTTTTGTTACTTAAAGCAATTATTTTATTTTATTTAACTTAAAAAATCCAAACGGACGAACTCATTTCCCTTTTTATTACAACCAGGATGTGAAAGGAACTTTTTCCCGGGGCGGGAATATTCCTACGTAAGCTGCGTAAAATTGTGCGCAAGTTAAGATGCGCGTGAAAAATGGTAAACTAGTATCGTGATGGACTGTAAAACCTCCTGTAACTTCTGCACTTGATCGAATAACAGCTTGGCGAGTAGAATCAGTGCAGATCAATGAGGTCAGTAAGCTTTATGAGAGAATCAAAGTTTGTAAATGGAGATTTGTGAATCAGCTTCGCAGCTAGTTTCGATTACCCTTTCCCTGCAGGCATGGTCAAATTATATTTGTTGTGATTTTGTTTCAGGAGGTATGTGAATTCAAACATTGATTACTTTGTCATACGTGTTTTAGAGAGGAATGCTGACACCTGTGATTATATAAACTGTTTTATGGTTTTTCTCACTGTTAAAAAAGAAATAGCACAACGGATTGCACCAGTTTACCACAGATTTGTTGATTTCTTGCACAAAGTGACAAACCAAAACTTTGGTCTATGTTTTATTTATTGATGGGGATTGACATATGTAAACATCTCATACTTTCTTAATGATTTTAATCTAGAGAGACAGTTGTAATAAAAATGAATCAAGTGAATTTGTGAGGACTTGGAAATTTATTTGGGTGCAATATTAGGATATAAATATGTTAGACAATGAGTTTATTTTTTTAATATAACAGCTGTTTTATTAAATTTAAATACGGCTGACAAAAGAAGAATGGTTTCAAGAGCTGCTCCCATTCAAAGCAATCATTTTGTTCTTCTAATTAAGTCAGAGTCAGTGTGATAAAAGCATCTCTAAACTAATCATAAGACTACTCACCTGTTAGTTGTTAGGATTTCTAAAGTTTTCCTTGTGCTGCTTTAGAGGACTCACTTACCTGTAGTTTGCAATGATGCTTGCTTAGATTTGCTGGTTCCTCCTCTTCTCTGTTTCTAAGGAAATTGGTCAAAACTCAGCAACCTGCCCAGGTGTTGTCTGTTTACATTGCACATGTGTGACTTTGGCTTTATAGTGTATTAGCAGTAATCCTGTTGCTACTGTTGATCCTTCCTTGCAGGTGCAGCGGCCTATGTAAACTAACGACACAATGAGTCTAGTTCTTCATGATCTCCTGGCCTGCTGCAGAGGGTTGGAAAATGACAAGGCTACAGAGAGGAAGGTAAAGGAACTAAAAATAAAATCAAATTTAATTATATATATATATATTTTTATTTTTTTGTATAAAGCATCTATCACTTTTTTTGTTACCTAATTTGTGCAACCAGAAAGAAACGGAGCGCTTCAGAAGACTCATTCGGTCTAAAGAGGTCATTCAGGAATTGGATCGCACCTCTGGGGCTAAAGCTAAAGGCTCCGGTCAGCTCACATGGGATGCTGTTTTCAGGTACGTCTCCACAGATATTATAAGTGGGTGTCTGTGTCAGATAAATTTTTATTACTGGGATTTACAATATATTTTATTTTGCTCGCCACACTAATTTTACTTCTCTTTTTTGTCTAATATTCTCTATCTAAGAAATTCTAGTTGTTTACATTGTATAATCATTCCACTTTTATTCCCTTTTTACTTATTGTAATTTTGCAAAATGCTTTTGAAAAAAAAAAAGCTCAATCCAGTCTTTTCCTCCTGTTCAGGTTTCTGCAGCGTTTTGTCCAGAAGGAGACTGAGAGCATGCAGTCTAGTAAATCCAATGTCACAGCGACTACAATGGCCACACGGCAGAAGAAGATGGCTGAAACGTGCAGCTTGGTCAAATTTTTCATTCGATATGCAAACAAACGTAAGGGCAAAGTCCGCATATAGTCCAGCCGTAAAATGGAATGTTGTGTTTCAGTTAGATAAATTGATCTTTGTGGAAAATGTTTGAAGCCCTGATTAAAACAAAACGTGTTGCCTAACTTAGCTTCCAAACATCACTTCAAGTTCTCCTCACTTTTAATTGTGTTTCAACCACAAAATTCAGTGTATCATAAATACGTTCTGCTAAAAGGGAAACCTGTGCACTCATCTAAAGTCTTTTGGTGAGTCTAACAGGTTTTCTTACAGGAGTAGGGTTGGTTTTCTTCCACGTGTTGATGGGTAGAAATTAACTAAATGCAAAAAGTTTAGGGCTTTTTTTTTTAAAGCCTGAACACAACAGTTGCGAACAACTTTTTAATCTCATATCTGATTTCATTCTGTCACACTGACTGCGTACAGAGAGGAACTAACTAGGTAGGGTGGGCAGGTCTGCGCAGATTTTTTTCACTTCTGTCTCTGTGCTATACACAAAATAAAACTATTTGCCATATTTGACTTGGACAAATTATGAAAAGTTATAGAAAAGTAAAATAACCATCATCGCATTCTATAAATCAAAGCCCGGCTTGAAAAGTCTGTGCAGCCTCTCAAACCAGATCAGATAGAAATTGTTTATAGGTCTATATTAAAAACATAATAAGATCTATGTCTAAAGAAAAGAAAAACACAGCAATAAACACCGTGGGATGGTTTATTTGCTGACTTAGCTCAGGGACAGATCTGGGAATTTGAGTTTTTCTTTTTTGTTTTCGTAGTGGTAAGAGAGATACGCTGCATACTTGCTCTGTCCGCCACTCGTTTTTTTGTTTGTTTGTGAGGTTCAAAGAGGATCACTATTTTACTATACCTGTTTTTTCTACTCCGGAAGTTGTTGTTTTTTTTTTATTAACTGCGGTTTCTGTCCCTCCTTGCTTTTGCACGGCTCAAAGAGGATCACTACTTTATCCGTTTTCTGTCCTTCTGAACTCCCATCGTGGGTGAAGTATTCTTTTTTTTTTTATGTTTTTAATGTTTCATTGATAGATTTTCTATCGGATCGGACGCAAAACGGAGATGCTATGTATGGGTCATTGAACATCTGATGATGTTCTGACTAGTTCTAAGAAAAAAAAAAAGTGTTTTTCTTTGCTAAACTAAAACTTTAGGAATGCAAAACTATAATCTTTGAAAATACAAAGTTGATTGCAGTTCCAGGGTATCTTTGTGCTGCAGGGGGACCAAGGCTGAAATGCAGCGAGCTTCTGAAACACGTGATGGAGGTGCTGCAGAGTTCATTCTGCTGCTCAGCATATGGAGAGAATTACAGCAGCCTCCTTTTAAAGGACATCCTTTCTGTCCGCAAGTACTGGTGCGACGTCACTCGGCAGCAGTGGCAGAGTGAGTATCTAACTGGCTTAAAGGTGTGAAAAATGAATCTGATTTATTTAGAAACTTGAGCGGTTTCCATATCGAAAAACCAAGTTCAAAATTTTCACTGTTTAGTATAACAACGATTCTTTACTTTCCACCTGATGATAGACTCTACTTTCCTTCTATTCTGTTTTTTACAAGACTGTAGTGTTCACCTGCACTCCTGACTGTTACTATTGTAACAACTGTTTCCATGCATCTTGCACTGCTCACCTTGACTGTATATTGATTTGCACTGCCGACTGTTTATTTGCAGTACCAATTGTTTACATATACATCTGCAATAACGTACTTTAACTGTAATATGCAATTACCTTTCACTGCACTTTAATTTAGATAGCTTCTGTCCAAACTTTATTTATTCATTTATAGTAAAATCCATCTGTATATATGCTATTGTACATAACTGCAAAAACCTTTTTTATAGTATTATCCACCTGTATAATATATTCGGCAATCATCCAGCTGTAAATTTTGTTCACAACACTAGTTATCTATATACTATATTCATCTATTTGTAAGATTCTGTTTATAATGGTATTCATTTCTATACTTATTCAGTAGAAACCCATGTCCTGTATTTATGGAACCATTATTTATCCTGCACTTGCTGCTAATGCACTTCTGGTTAGACCTAAATTGCATTTCGTTGCCTTGTACCTGTTGAATCTAATCTAATCTAATCTAATGGAAAACTGCAAGAAATCTCAGAAACCTCTCAAAACTTGAAAAGAGGTAGAAATATTTTTTGGATTGAATTTTACTCAGATTTGTACAATTACTGCACACAGAAAGTGTGAAAACTCTCATATATATTAGGCTGAATCCTAATTTTTTTTTTAAATCTGTGGTATTTTTAAAGTTGCTGTTTTGTTTGCTAGAAATTGACGCTCCTGCACCGATTCAGATCTTCTACAGAAATCACTTAACATTTGCAAATTCTATGATAATGTCAATCAGTGAGTGTAATAAAACTAATTGATAAAGATCTGATTTTTTATTTTATTTTTTTTCATCAGATGCGTTTTTTTAAATAAATTTTTAAGACTGACTCTGACTTTTGATCTAAAGGCCTTTTGGAGTTGTATTGCGGCCTGTTCAGCTCCTCATCCAGAGCCATCAACCGCGTGCTGCTCAGCAGAGTCATCTATGTAGTAGTGAAGGGCTGCTGCACACAGACGGAGGGATTCAACTCCGCTTTGTTCAGCTTCTTCTCCAAAGCAATGCTTAACGCCAGGTAAAAACTTCTGCTTGTTCAGGTTTAGTTGTGTCAGAAACGCTGAGAGAACCTGCAATTAAACTCATGCATCTATTTCCCGACAGGCAAGAAAAACACCTCAGTATCCTGGAGCATCTCGTCTCGGCTCTGAACATCTTCCTGAGATCTGCTGCCATGAACTGTCGCATGAGAGTTTGCCGACTCGGAGAGGAGCTTCTTCCCTCTTTACTGAGCGTCTGGGAAGACATGAGGCCGAGTGCCAACCTCAAGGAGGAGATCATGGAGTTCTTCAGCTTGCAGCTCCGTGTTCACCATCCGAAGGGAGCCAAGACACAAGACGCAGGTTCAATGATGTTATCTTTTTAAATATAAAAGACTACCTTTTTTACTTTTTGCAATTTTAATTTATATTTATTGTCAGGATTTTGCACCATTCAGGCAAAGTGCATTAAGTTTATTTGTGCAACGTTGCTCCCATAGAATATACTTGAGTATTTTACAAAAAAGAAATAATAAAGGAATAAAGGAATAAAGAATAAAGGAAGACAAATTGACATAAAACCGGAACTGCATTAAATTAAACATGGGGAAAAAAGAAGCACTGAAATGTATATTCAAAATGAATCGCTAAGATGTCTTGAAGATCAATCTTTGAACTTGGAATGCTGCAGCAAACGATATGTTTCTCATTCCTAAATGTACCATGGACAGCGTTTTCTGCACAAGAGTGCAAGAGCATAAAAAAACTAAAGCCGAATATAAATAGAAATCCTGTTTATGAGTAACAGAAATCTGATTTAAAAGAACTGAAAAGTAAATGTCATCACACAAATTGTATTGCAATTTTTTCAGGCGCTCATGCGGAGGACTGGACCAGATGGTGCGGCCTGCTGTACAACCTGTACGACGCTTTGGTCAGAGAGATCAGCCACATCGGCAGCAGGGGGAAGTACGCCACCGGGACCAGACACATCGCTGTGAAAGACGGCCTCATTGAACTCACTGCTGACATCTGCCACCAGGTGACAAACCTGACCTCTGCTCTCCTCTCCTCTACATGGAGTTTAAATTAGCATTCCAGTATATGTATGATATCTTTTGTTTTGTAGCTGTTCAGCGATGGCAGTGATGCCCAAACATTGGAGGTCACTCAGGCCTCCTTCAGAGGCACACAGATGGGAAGCCCCTCCCACGGAGCAGCCAGCAAGAGACGGCGCATAGAGCTGGGCTGGGAGGTACTCCGTGACCATCTGCAACCACAGCACAGCGATTTTGACGTCATTCCATGGTATATGAATCAAAATACATTTTATCTGAAAATATCTTGCATGTAAAACTTAAAAGGTTTTTTGTTTTTTGGTCAGGCTGCAGATCACTGCAGTGCTTGCCTCTAAGTACCCATCCATGGTGCCCGGTAAGGAACTGGTCCAGCTGTTGTCAGTGCTGTATCAGCTTCTGGCCGAGCAGCGGAGAGGCGACAGGGGGCCCTACGTGCTTCGCTGCCTCACGGCGGTCGCCCGCTGCCAGGCCTGCTTCACGCAGACAGCTCAGATCCACAGAGCGGAGCTGGGAAGGCTCTGGGTGCGGATCTGGCCCCTGGCATTGCGAGGCGTCAGCTCCCCTCAGACGGAGTCTCTCAGTCTGGACCTGCTGGCCTCCATTGTCTGTGGGGGACTGATCGATGTAGACAGAGAATTCTGGAAACTCTTCCGTGCATCGGCATGCAAACCAACCCGGTGAGCCACACTGTTGCCTCTTTGCTATTCTAATTAAACCTTATTTTGACCTAAAATTCATTGTAATATCCGTCTGTTTGTCTAATCTATGTTTCTCTGTTTTTGCAGGAGCGCTGCGCTCTGTCTCACCCAGGCGATTCTCACGTGGCCAATCCCAAAGAGCGCTGGATGGAGTTCAGGTATTGACTACATGGTAACCACAGAGGGGACTGCCTCACCCAGCCTGAAGGAGAGCCTCATAGCCTGGCTGCTAATGAGTGACCAGAAGGATGAGATGGAGGATAGCTGCACCCCTCACCCCGTTATCTGCAGGTTGCTTGTTTTTTTTGTTTTAACACCATTTATATTGCTCATTATTTGAAAAACTATTTGGCATAAACTCATTTAAAAGTGTTCACCACTTACCAATTTTTGTCATTCTTTTATTGAATTGGGATTTTTGATCTCATTTGTTTTCAGCCCACATGGATGATAGGTGTAGAGAGGTGTAGTCATGCCTTGAGCTGAACCCTCCCTGCAGCTATTTGAAGCCTCTAACTGGGGCTGGACAACATGGCCGCAACTAATATCACCATATATTTTTTTAAGATCAGCTGATTCATATTAAAAAATAAAAGACTGAGAAAACTCCCCTAAGAAGGCCCACAACAGAGGCCAACTAAAGATTTTCTATCAGTTTCAAGGCATCTTTCTTTGAATGAACCATAGATGAAACTTTAGACTGTGCTTTATTCTGAGTTTATTTATTTCTATCACCATGGATACAGTGTGTTCATTGAAATTTGCATGTAGTCTAAAATGACTTTAAGCAAAACTTTCCTTTCAGGCCCATGGTAACACCATAATATACCATGGGCCTGATGCCTCCTATGGGCCTGATGTCTCCTATTCCTGTATGTTAGAAGTTCTTCCATATTTTCGATGATGCATGTACATTTGGAACATAAAAAAAACGTTTATGATATTGTTTTATAACCTAATCCATCTTCTATCTACCAACCTGCTTTCTGAACCAATTTTATTTAAGGGTGCCTCAAATCTTTTGCAATAAGGAGAATTTCAATGGATATTGTTCTGTAGCTTCTAAAGCTTGTCTTAAAGCGATTAGTTGATTGAGTTTTATTACTCACTATGTTTCTTATGTTTCAGTGTATTTATGGAGTATTTTTTACTTGTTTGCAGAGATTTTCCTCATAATCTTATTGCAAGAATCCTGGTTTCACTGACGTTCAAGGATTCAAGGGTTGGGCTAAAGTTTCTGCTGGGTGCTGAAGGGATAAAAAGGTAAAAATAATAGCAATAAAAAAAAACAACAACCTTTAACTTCCATTACAATTAAACTCTGTTTCAACTCTGCTTAATTTTCAGTCCCTTTTTAAAAGACGATGTTTCAACCGATGCCAAAGACAAGTGGGAGGACATTGAGAGTTTGTACCAGCAGTTCAGCTTTAGCACGGCGCCGTCTGACATCAGAGCGACTGATGATGAGTGGGTGAACGTGGCATCCGCTGATATTCAGCTGGCCGTCATCCCCGCTCTTAGAAACAAGCTGGAGAAGAGCCTGCTATCCGTGGCCGACGCTCTGCTCAGCTGCTACTCTCCTGATGTGAGTGGATACAAATATGTCCCTGTGTGTGTACTAACCCTTTAGCCTTTTCTGATGCTTCTTCTGATCTATCTGTAGTCTCAGTCCACCCCTCCTGAGTGCCTGGTGCGCTGTGTCAGCCAGCTGACAGGTGTGCTGGCAGGTTTTGTCTCGGCGGGACTTTTGAGTGAGGAGGAGGCCTGCCGCTCGCAGCTTTTCACCAAAGCAAAGGTCTTTTCCCTCACTGCACTTTGGCTGATTTGGTGTAGTCTCAAGTGATTTCCCTTCACTTTCCAGCCAACATGAAGGTTTTAATGTTGCTTATGTCACCAGGCTGTGGCCCAGGACCTCGGTGGGTTTGTTTCCAGCGTCAAAGTGAAAATGAGCGAGGAGGGGACCATGTCCACACTCAGATCGCTTATGAACCTTTGCACAGAGTCTGCCAACAGAAAAGCCACGGTGACACCTCCAGCCGTTTTAGATTTTTTCCAAGTTTTACGTGATTTAAATGGTTAATAAATAATTTATCCTACAGGGTCAAGTGGGATCCATCTTCTCGGGTTTATTTATAATGACTCTGCCTCCCAGCCTGTTCACAGAGCTGGCTGAGATCTGCAAACTTCATGTGGTACGTGGCTGACATGAGATGAGTTGATTCCACGAGCTGGAGGACATTTATCTGACATTTATCTCTGCCTTTCAGTTCAGCAATGTTTCTAAGCGGGTCAGTGTCGTGGAAGATGATGAGATGATGGACGATGAGTTGGAAATGACTAGAAATGCTCCTGCTGGTAACGACATCGACCTGTTTGAGGATGGGGAGGAAGCCAACGGCAGCGCCAGCGAGAACCACAGGCAGAAAGAGGACGGCGGCGATGCCTCGTGCGGCCCGGGTACGAGCAGATTGAGAGCCTGAGCTGCTATGCACTGCAAAAAATCTAAATCTAGATAAGTCATTTTTTTCTTAAAACAATTTGTTCTTGAACTAAGGAGGTAAAAAAGACATTTTGCCAACGGAACAAGGCAATTTACACTTAAAATAAGAAAACACAATTGCATTGTCTTATTTCAATTGCATATTATCTAATTATCTTATTTTAAGAGTAAAATTACTAATTCCATTGGCAAACTATCTCATTTGCCTACTCAAATTCAGAGTGAATGCACTTAATTTAAGAAAATTTTACTTATTTGTAGATCGTTTTTGCAGTGTGGGGAGCTAAATGTTGTTATTCAGCATTGTACTCTGATGGGGACTTTGATTGGGCCAGTTTCTATATTAAAATGCTTTAATTTAATCACTTCATCTGCAGCTCTGGCTGCGTGTATCAGGATTTTTTCCTGCTGGGAGGCTCCTCCTGCCTGGTTTAGAAATTTAACTTGGAATAAGCATTTACATGTGGTTTGCATGCAGTCTTAAATGTTAAGTTGGCTTGCAGCGAACCTTCAGAGTTCTTTGGATAGATTCCTCCTTGCTACCCTTCTGTTAGGAGCACATCTTGAAGTTTTCAACTAACCTTTCCATTCTTTATTTTGGAAAAACTAAATGATAATAAATGGCACAATTAATTCCCCAAGGCGTAAAACACATTTTAAAGTGTCAGGTGTAATCCATTGGTCTAACTCTGACAGGTGCCAAAAGCCTGCTAACAGAGGACTACCTGGGGAAGCAGGACCTGGCTGTCCTTGCAGTCTTGGAGTTCCTGTGTGAATGCGCCTGCGCCGAGCCCCTCCGCTGCCTGCTGTTTAAACCTCAGGATGTGCGGCGCAGGCTGCTGCTCTTGCTGAGGGAGATCGACTTCAGCAAAGCTCTGCACCTCCACATGGTGGGTTACAGTCAACCAGGATGAGACGCATTACGAGCTTTAGCTTAGCGCTGATTTCTCTTCTAGTATCTGATCCTGTTGAAGAAACTTCCAGCTGAGGACTCCCTGTCTCCGGAGGAGTTCGATACCCTGCTCCGCCCTCTCGCGTAAGGAGACATTTCCAGCCTCAAAACATAAATGCATTTTTTTATGTGTCTTTCAACCCACTGAGGATAATCTGTGTATTGTTGTTTGTCTGCAGGGATCTGTGTTCTTTGTACCGTCAGGATCAGGACATCTGTGCTTCTGTGTTGCTCAGTTTGTTACCCTCCATACAGAGCCTGGGGAAGACCAGACACCTGCCAGAGGAGATGAAACACGTACAGGGATCACTTCTACAAGTCTTGTCTGGCTTCTGGTAAAAAGCCCCTAACACCTTTTTTATTCTCCCGTGCAGAGAAATAATTTTTAGTTTTATTAATCATTTTAAGGATAAAGTATCGGATGCTAAAGGGACGAGTCCCTCATATCATTTTACTCTCTTTGCTGTTTTCCAGCATCTTGAGCCAGGGGGGGAAATGCGTGGCGGCTGTCCGAGCTGCTTTAGTTCAGTGTCTCATCGCCCTGCTGGAGGTAAAGTCTCTGAGGTTTCGTTTTTATATATTCTGTCACAGAAGGTGTCACATATTTCCATCCTTTTCCATTTAGGCTGACCCTCTGTGTGACTGGGCTAAGATATCTCTCAAACGGACTGAAAAGGAGGAGGATGTCCCCTCTCCTGTGTTCTCCATTCTCCCATTGCATCTCGCAGACGCTCACCACCAGGTCCGCATGCTGGCTGCTCTGTCTGCAGACAGGTAAGCTGCAGCCGCAGGAGGGTTTGTACTGATGGTGAATCTGAATGAAGTGGAAAGATGTACATTTTTATATTTAAAAAAGTATATCTTAATAGAAAAGTATAAATGTCTAATTAAGTTGGTTTCCTTAGATATTTTCTGACATACCTGCAGATCAGTACCAGATATGTTAGTAGGTGGTTTTAAGGTGTCCAGAAAAACCTTGTTCTTAAGACTTTGTCAGGTCAAACCAGGACGTCTATCTGATTGTAGTGGTCAGATTTTAAAATCTTTGTCCTACCTGTTATCAGGAAAAAAAGGATGAGAAATTAGATCACAGCAAACATTGCATCTGCCCCTTGTAAGGAGTCATTATACTTAAAGGGGAACATTTACATTTGGCCCTTGATTTTACGTTCATGTTCTACTCACCCATATAAGTTTTGTGTCAGTTGGAGCTGTTCTGAAGATATCCCGTTAGGTTATATTCAAGTAACGTCTTCCTATGGGCAACGAATTGAAGGCACAAACTAAACTGTTCATAATTTATCATTTATTGTACGCTAGCATTCAGCACATGTAGGCGTCACCCTACATGACGTCATCCGCTTGCTGGACTGGAGTTGTTAGAGGCACGCTCTACCCCTTCTATTCATTCTGCTTGCTAATCTGAATCGTTCAATTCCATTTCGAGAGAGAGATCATCTGTGGTAGTAGCACTAGACATCTTCCAGACATGTGTGGAAAACTAGCAGTAGTTCAGCGGACAGGAAGAATGAACGGAAGCCCGCGCGAGCGGATGGCGTCATACACAGTCCGCTTTGTTTTTAAAAGATATAAATATAAAAAATATAACTGCGGATGTCTGGGGGACAGTGATTTGCCTACATGTTATGAATGCTGGCGTATCATAAAGAATTAATTATGAACAGTTTAGTCTGTGCCTTCAACTCGTTGCCCATAGGAAGACGTTACTTGGATTACAAAAGCGAATACTGTATCTTCATGACAGCTCCAAATGGCACAAAACTAATATGGGTGAGTAGAACATGATGTAATAACATAAAATCAAGGGCCCAATGTAAAAAAAAAAAAAAAACTGCGTTCCCCCTTTAAGAAACAAAAGAAAATCTTTGAGGGTTTCACACACAGCTTCATCAAAACAAAGTAGAGAGTTTCCCATAAACAGAAGGATTGCTAAATAGCCTGGAACTAAAAGATTCTAGCTCCTTACAAAAAGATCTAACTCTGAAAAAAACAGCTTCTCAGGAGTTGGTGAGATAAGACTCACTTCCAGGTTCATTTATCAAGTGTTCTGCTTGAGTGAATACTTTTGTGCAACAAAGGAACCAAAACAAGCTCGATAAGGTTATTAACTAGAGACAAAAAAAGGAATTGAGTTTTAAATTATTTATTTAAATACATCAGGAGTTTTTTTGTGAGCTTTTAGGATTTCATCTTTCTTTCCTATGCATCTTTCCCAATCTTTAAAATAAATTTCCCTTTTCAACAAATGCAATTCTTAAAAAAAAATCAAATTTTCAAGACACATTTAAAGCTCAGTTTTCTGACTATGAATACATTAAAAGCTCCTTGCAACACTTAGTTTTTGTTCTTTAGTTGTTTTTTTCTTACAATCATTGTTATTTTCTGCTCTGTTTCTAGATTGTTTCTTGATTTGAGACCAAATCATTCAGATAAGAGGAAGATGTTGCCTCTAAAACACCAACAGGCAGCATTTGACAACATCTACCTAAAGGCTCAGGAGGGGATGAGGCTACCGGTGAGATCAGGCGGCATCGCCTCGCCTCAACAGATGCGTCTCTGTTATCCAATGTAAATTAAAGCCCCCTCTCTTGTGCATTTTCACACACAGAAAGGTGGCTCCCCGGACGACCAGCCGGACGAAGCGTTCAACCGCAAAGCCGCCCTGCTGAGGAGCCTCTCTGTGGTTCTGTGCTGTAGCCCGGTTTGTGAGAAACAGTGTCTGTTTGCTCTCTTCCAGTCCTACAAGGAGAACAACGTGGAAGAGGAGCTCATCAAAAAGGTCTTTATGCAGCACAGGAATAAACTATCTCCATTCAGTCTTTTTAATTATAGCTGCATCATAACAGCTCTGTTTGCTTTTCTGTTACAGATGTTATGCAGCGTGTCTAAAACACAGAGTTACAGGAGTGTAAAAACCTTCATCACTTCTCACCTGTACTACCTGGTAGCCGAGTGGCTCGCACAGAGGCAATCAGACGACCGCTACACTCTCGGATCTTTCCCCTACAGCCTGCTGGATCATAACACAGTCAAAGATTTCTACAAGTTTGTTATTTAAAAAAAAAAAAAATTTCCCCCAGTCCATTTAAACAAGCATGGTTTTCTTACTCAACGTCCACATCTCTGTTTTCAGCTCTTGTTACCAGGTGCTGATCCCCCACCTGGTCTTCCTGGATGACTTTGAGCAGGTGAAGTCCATTGGCCGGTGCCTCGAGAGGGACTGGAGGGACTTACTGGCCGACTGTTTCCCCAAGATCATGGTGAACATCCTGCCGTACTTTGCCTTTAAAGGCCAGGAGTCTCAGGTTGCACAGCAGAGGGAGAAGGCCCACCGAGTGTACGACCTCCTGAAGGATGCAAGCTGTCTGGGCAAACAGGTAAAGCTGACTCTAAAACAGAGCCTAACGTCGTCTTGTATCATATTGTTGACCTCTTACACAGATTAAAATAATTTTTATTAAAGTTAACTCTTCATTATTATCTTTTTCTATTTTCTAAGGTTCACATTTGTGTGATCTTTTTTTTTTTTCTATAACCTTTTTGCTCCTGTAAGCACCAGAATTTCCCATTGTGGGACATGAAAGGAATTTTCAATTCTATTGTAAAATTTAGTGAAATGTAGGAACTTCCTGGTTTAAAGTAATACTAATTTTGCAGGTATGGAAAAGGAACAAGTCAAACTCTGTAGTGTTGCATAAATTAGGCATCAATACATCACACTGCACAAAAATGAAATCGAAATAACAAATTTTTCTTAATATAAGTGCATTTTTCTTGAATTGAGGAGGTAAGTAAGACACTTTGTCAATGGAATAAACAAATATGTATTTCAAATATAGGGTTGTCAAAAGTATCGTTACTCAAAAAAGTATCGATACTGAAACATTGTATCCGGATACAATACTCATTTTCAAAAGTATCAATACAGCCATCGAAAGTGCAGAATAGTGGAAAATGCACTTTCAGAACACTGTGTAATTGAATAATTCTGTGCATTTTCAGTTTCAGACTTTTTTGTAACAGGTGCAGCTGCTGAGAATTTATTTTGTTTAACTGGTTTGGCCAGTGTCATTGTTATGTCTATGCAAAACATAGCCAAGGAAGGAACATTTAATTTTAATTTTGTAAGTTTTTTATCAAGCTTGCTTAATATTTTGCACAGCATACAACCTCAAAATATTATTCTTATTGTTTTTTAATTTATTTCTTGTATTTTTTAGTAATGAAAATATTTCTGTTGAATTTTGGAATCTTTGTTTTTATTCTTGTGGTATCGAAAAGGGTATCGAGTATCAAATATTTTACTTAGTATCGATATCGAGTTGAAAAGTTTAGTATCGTGACAACCCTATTCAAATAAGAAAAAAACAAAAGCATTGTCTTATTTCAAGTGCATATTATCTAATTTCGAGACTAAAAATATTCAATCCATTGGCAAATCATCTTATTTACCAAATCAAATTAAGGGTAAATGTAATTAATTTAAGACATTTTTACTTATTTCTAGATTGTATTTGCAGTGCATAATAAGCCGGTTTACACCTTGTTTTCTCAAAGAAATAATCACAAGGTAAATAGAAGAAGTAGCCCATCATTAAGCTGCCATCTTAACATGGTGGAGGGGTTTTCCAGAGGCCATGTTGTTTGGGGCTTAAATGCTTGTAGGCTCGCCCAAGGCTAACAGGCTCTGGGGGACAGTCAGACAGCGTCAGGGCAGGTGTGGCAGAGCCAGTGTAGGTACCAGATCTGCTCAGGCCCTGCGCATGCCAGTGACATTACCATACATGATTGGCTGAACATTGCCACATGATGTAAATCATTGTGGTTGCCCAGAGAACGATAATAACATCACGCAGCGTCTGGAGCATCTGTCGTGTTAGCGTGTCTAATGACCGATGGAAGTTTTTCCTGATCGATAACAAAACAGAAAAACGTGTGTTTATGGTGAACAAAGTAACTGCAAGACTATGATATAAGGGGGTAGAGCTGCTTAGCTCTGTGGCTAGCTGTGTTCGGTAGTTAACCGGTTAGCCACTTTTAGCTTGGTCAGTTAGCCATATTAAGCTTAGCTACTTTTAACTTTGTGTCAACAACAACAACCGTTCGTTTTCTACAAGTAGAAGAACTGTTTTATTTGTCTAAAATCTCTACGAAAGTCATTTTTAAGATGTCCCATTTGTCCTTTCTGCCCTCAGATCTTAATAAAAACAATTAAAAAAGCTGAGACTTTTTTGTTACCTTGTTAAATGGCAGAGTTCAGTCTGTCCCAGAATGCAGGACTTTCCTTCAAGACTGACAATGGTTGTTTTCTACTTTCGGCTACTTTAGATCGCCAATTAATTGTAAAATAATTGTAAATATAGGTAATAATATGTTGAGACTCCAGTATAAATTTGATTCTTAAGAAACGGGTGCAATGCAGTTTGTCCAAGTGGTTTTGCCATATGATGATGTCATAAGGCCGCTGCACACACAGCTAGGGCCATGAATTTGTTCAAACTCAGTTGGAGCTGTTAGCATTAAATTTGGCTTTTTCAGAGTTTGCAGTACAAGTTAATTGAAAACGGGCATCGTTCAAAATGTTAGTTTATCAGTTGGTTGTTGTTTTTTTTTTTTGTAATCCCATTAATGCTTGACCTCAGAGGAAGGGCTGGATTTTCCTTGACCTGACTGGCACAAAGCAAAATGATTAGGCAACATTTTCAGTGGGAAAAAAATGCTTTTCATATGGATATGGGATAATAATCAGAAATGCCTTTATGGAGTAATGAGCTCTCCTTGTGTTGCCCCCACAGCAAATTGACAACCTGATTCACAGCAACTTGTCGGACATCGTAGTGGAGCTGCTGATGACTCTGTATGAAGGCTGCAACGCAGACGGAGACACAGGAGACCTGAACCGCTTCACTGGGTAATCATCCTGAAGCAGAGTCCCTTTAACATCTCACTCTTTTCCTATTCTGTTTATTTATTGGAATGGCACATAAACACAATCAGTTTTATGTCCCACAGAGAGTTGGACCCACTACCGAACCCCCCGTATTTTAGCTCGTATGTCATCAAAGCCACACTGGACTACCTCAGCAAATGCCACAGCGCCAGCCATAAGTCTCTGGTGGCCATTCTGTCTAAAACCCCGGTACAGAAGATCATTTCCACTATCAGTCACAGTTTGATGTTCATTTAAGAGAAAGTTAACAATTTCCTCTGTGGGGGCTGCAGATTTCCATCCAGAAGATCCTGCTGGCGGTTTGTGAGAAAGCAGCAGAGACGAGCAACAGCTACGAACGCCACCGCATCCTCCTCATGTACCATTTGTTTGTCAGCCTGCTGCTTAGGGAGGTGAAGGACGGCCTGGGAGGAGCCTGGGCCTTCGTCCTCAGAGACATTATCTACACTCTCATTCATCATATCAACAGCAGGTTGGTAAACCCTCTCACAGGAGGGGGGGAGGCTATTCTGTTCTTCTAAAAACAACTCTACAGCGTTTTGTTCCTGTGATCCCACAGACCGCCCCAGTGTGACGAGGTTTCCAACAGGAGCCTCGCTCTGTGCTGCGACCTGCTCGCCTCTGTGTGTCAGGCAGCACTGCAGTTCTGTGATGACGCTCTTGACTGCCACCTTCAGGTCATAGTGGGGACTCTCACCGCTCAGGTCACCAGTCAGCCTTTTATTTCCCAGCAGGTATGGGATGCTATATTTACAGGACAGTCATTTAAAACTCTTACGCTTTATGAAATGTATTATTGTGTATTATGTTATTCAAGTTCAACATTAAAAAATAAGTAATGTTTTATTTGTGAAAGAGTAAGCAAAAGCTGTATTTTAAACCCAGTGAAATGTTTAATTCAAATCAGGAATCAAATGTTTCTATAAAATCTATCTCCTCTTTCCAGCTGTTGTACTTTATATATCTTGGGATTTCTTTTTCCCCAGGTGCTGAGCCTACTGCAGTTCCTCATCATAGAGAACCAGCAAAAACTAAAAGGGCCCATCAGCAACTTGGAGCCTTTCTCTGACATCCCAGAGTTCAAGGAGCTGCGCTCAGTGCAGCACAGACTCAAATATAAAAGCGGCAGCTTCACACTGAGACAGGTAGCTGCATCATTACAGTAACGCAATGTTTAGATACATACAAATCCCTTTTTATTAAAACAAATCCTCTTTGATAATATTTACAAAAAAGTAAAAAAGAAAAAAAAGTCAAAATGCCCCTTTAACTCGTGCACAGTAGAGCATTTAAATCAAAGGAAAATATGCTTTAGCTTTTCAGTTTTTTCTGTTTTACACATGGAAAATTCCTGTGTTACCATCTAAACCAGGGGTAGACAAGGTCAATCACTCAGTGCCACTGTCCTGCAGCATTTGCATGCATCCTTTCTTCAATCCACCTGAAACAAAAAAATGCTAAACTTTCTGAGATGCCAAGAAGGTAATTCGGCCTTTTGTTTAAGGTGTGTTGAAGCAGAGATTCATGCAAAAGCTGTTTTCTCTGCTGAATAGCTCCAGCTGGATAACAACCCCACAAATTTTTGAAAAAAAAAAAAAACATCAAGCATCCCCATATCATGACGTCGCCACCATCGTGTTTCATACAGTTTGTGTTCAGCATGTTGTTTTGCTGCATATTAAATTAAGTTAAAATAGAAATAGTATTATTTTGAAATGCACACTGCACATTGGATTATCATGGCTTTCTTTCAGCAAGAAAGACCAGATCTTTAGTGTCCAACTAACAGTCAGGTTAAAGGTTTGGACATTTCTCTGCCTACTTCATCACTATCCATTTTACTGTGAGAACTTCAAAGATCTCACCCTAAACTTCTCCATAACTTATCGCTGACCTGCCTCCTCTGTTCATTGATCTCCATGATGCTGCTTACTCACCAATATTCTCTAAATGACCTCAGAGGCTTCGACTGAATAGCTGGATTTATATTCAGTTTACAGTTGTCTTCTAAAGACGGCTGTTTGCACAGAATTTTATTTAGGGGTGCCATAGTAAAACAGGATAAATGCACAGAATGCCTTACCTCATTAATTATTGACAAATCTGGTGTTGTTTTACTTTCACGCTCATTATGATTCTCTATATTATGTTGGTCCATCACAGAGTTTAGTGCAACTGAAATTCATTTAAGTTTCTTGTTGCAATAATATGGAAAAAACTCTTGGTTGCACATCTTTTAAGTCACTGCATTTCCTGTATCATTTTGTAGGAAATAATGCATTTCCTGTCGGCGTCATCGTCTGACTCTTTACCGCTGACCAGACTCGAAGGGTTAAAAGAGTTGACTCGACAGCTCCATGGCAACAAAGATCAGATCCGAGAGCTGCTCAAAGAGTGTCACGGTGGGATGCTGTAGAAACAGCCTTTGCCTCAATGAAAGGTGTCTTTAAGAATCTTTGTTTTAATGTTGTCTACCTTCCTTTTTAGCTAACCCCACTGACAGCGTGCTGGTGAAGCTGGTTCTTAGTCTGCTACAGCTTTGCAAAATGGCTGCCAATCACCCCGGAGGTGTTGACATTCTAGGTAAAATAAAATCTGGTTTTCCTCTGCCCCTGCTGGTCGGCGGCTTCCTTTACTCTGTATCTGCTTGTAACCTTTGCTGCAGAGGCTGCAGGCACCTGTCTTGGGGAACTGGGTCCAGTTGACTTCTCCACCATCGCCCTCCTTCACGGTAGAGACCCCCTCTATGAGAGAGCCGCATCTCTTTTCACCTCCACCGAGCTGCAACATCTTTACATCATCCTGAACTGCATGAATGATGCCCTCACGCAGCAGAGGTACGGCGAATCCTGGAGCTTCTGATCAGTTTGTTCTGTGCGAGAAGTGAAGGTGTTCTCTGTTCTCTGGCAGCATTGAGGTGAGACGGGCTGCAGCTCAGTGTGTGAAGAACATCCTGGCTACTCAGTCCGGCGTTGACTTCTGGGACCAACATAAAGACAACAGGGACCCCATGCTGGCTTACCTCAACCCATTTAGATCAGCCAAAAACAAGGTGATTGGACCATGTATCCATGTCACAGGAAAAACATCTTGTTAAGATTCTTAGATGGTTTGAAAATGTTCTTCTTCCATGTGAAATATTGCAGATGGTATCTAGTTTTCATCTAAGTTAGAAAGATCACAGCTCAGGATAACATATAATCACAGACCATATCTAATCAAACTTACTAAATTTACAAATTTTTTATATAAAAAAAGATCTCTTTAGTGCTTTCTGTTAAAGATATAGTGGAGGATGTTCTTTTTCCAGGTGGATCATCAAAATAAGTGGTCCTCCTAATTGTCAATCTTTCCGGTGATGTGTTTACTTAAGGCCGCCCTACGTCCCCAGTTAGCTCTCTTTTTCTGTGCATGCAAACTTTCATGCGTATATATGTGGTGAGCTACGGTTTAAGGCAGTCATTGAAGCTCACCTTTCTCACCACGGTTCTTTGAAAATGGCTGAAGTTCGTAAGAGAAAAAGTGTCTACAAAGGGTATGAGAAGAGGAGAAAGGCCTCAGTAGAGAGAAACAGGACCAGAGTATTTTTGGGAGATTCTTTCACGCAATGGCGTAAAATAAAAGCAAAGTTTCTACTTGACAGGTAAAGTGTGGCGTTCTATTTGGAGAAATCCATTTCACATCACTGCTAGTCAAGTGAGGAGAAACGCGTTTAATAGCTGGTCCCTCTTGGGAGTGGGTACAGGTTTGTGCATGTGCATTTCTTTTTTAAGTCAAGAGGGTGTGCCTTTTTAAAAAATCACGCAAATCCTCCACTATACCTTTAAGATTTATTTATTTAACCACACCACAGCTCTGTAGCTTTTTGTTAATTGGTAATGTGACATCTGAGCAGAAAAGGGTCTGACAATTCAAAGCACTTTACATGATTTAAACAGTAAAATATAAGGAAAATCTAAATCAAGCAAACATAAAAACTGATAGTAAAGCAAACCCTTTGACCGCAAACATAACTAATAATATCTCAGTTAACAATTTAACAATCGAAGGCAGTTCTGAGCAAATATTGTGAAGATGTTCAATAAACGCAACCCAAGGATTATCAAAACATACTTTACTACTTATTTGTTGATGACATACCACCTTTTTCTGCATCTTTATTTAACCTCCTTTGCCTCGTGTTGAAACAATCCCTGAGTTAACAGTAGAGTAACAGTAACACGTTAAAGTAATTGCTTAGTGTGCATAAAACCTACATGATCAAGGATGTAATGAAATCAGCCTACAAAAATCATTATCGGAAGCATTATCAGAATAAAAACAATGGATGTAAATACTGATTTCTGTAAAAAAAAAAATGGTGGCAGCTGCAGCTCATCTGAAATGTTGCATTCAGGGTCTGGACTAACTCCTGGAAATCAGAGCGTTGACTTCCTGTTTGAGGAAAAAAACTAAACAAATAGAACAACAAATTTTTAATTCTTGTCTTGGGCTGCTATGTTTTTTAGGGTTACTGGTAAAACCTGAAAATACTTGTTAACCTGGTGTTCATTGAATGAACATGAAGCAGTGAAGCAGTATTGAGTCTTCATGACGCTCAGCTCTGGAATAAATGGCATTAAAAGCTAAGAAGTAGGGGAACTGTTGGGCTCTTTAAATTGGGACTGAAAATATTAATTTCTAACCCAGCTTTCTCATTAAGGTCGGAAACTGCTTTATCAGCTCAATTTTTCCGCTTCTAAGCTTTCAATTCATTTAACTTTGTATTCGAACATTTCTATTTTTATCTGATTCCTCTTTGTTGACTATGGTTTCAATGCAATTCTGCTATTCCCGTTTCTGCATTGTGGCAATTCGTGTTACCCTGTGTGTGATGTGATTTATTTAAATCAACCTTATCACTTTACAGCAGATCTGACATTTGTTTTGTCTGTATTTGGGTTCTTGTTGGCATTCTTCACTAGGTGGCTTCTGTGAGTGTTGAGGAGAGTTCAGAGGCTAAAGGGAAGCTGGAGAGCCAGGAGTTTTGGATCCCACAGGCAGGGGGCCACAAGGCCTGGCTGAGGGAGCTGTGCACAGCCCTGCTGGACAGTGGAGGGGTGAGGAGCGAGGCTCTGCTGCTGTCACGGCCTCTGTGTCTGGTGAGCTAAATTGGTTTGAAACTCATGTAGTTTTTTTTTTATAGGGCAGCAAATGCTTTGTTTTTCTTTTGGCAAATTGAAGTACTGTCTGACATCCAAAAGTTAAAAGTTTAGAGTTATTCAGTGATCCGTAAGAACACAGCTGTGCTGATTCCCTCCCTCCGTCTCCAGGTGATGGCAGACTGCTGCCAGAGGCTTCTTCCCCTCATCATCCACTCCATCCTTCTGGACGACCCCAACGGCTCTTGGAGGGAGCTGCTCTCCACCCGCATTCAGGACTTCTTCAGCTTCTGTTCCAGGAGCGCTCAGGCTGCCAGTCGCTCCGCAACTCCTCTCAACTCTGACTCTGGTGAGGTTGAGTCCATGGCGACAGAGCCCAGCGCTTCTTGTTTGATCTTTCGTAATAAAATTTTCTCCCATTTCTAGAGTCCGACTCTGCAAGCCAGGGTTTGTACGATAAGGCCTCCTTGCGAACCATGCTGGCTGTTATCGACTATCTGAGACACCAGCAGAGAACAGTGGCAGCTGAAAGGTTTGTTATGATGAACTATTCTTCAGACTGTTTACATCTCAACTAGTTTCCTGCAGCTCAGTTTGATGCACAATAGAGGATCTATGGCTACATTCACACTGCAGCCTGAAGTGACCCCAATCCACTTTTTTTGCCCATATGTGACCTGGATCTGATTTTTTCATGGCTGTCTGAACAACACAGATCTGATTTTTTTCTAATGCGACCCAGGCCACTTGGCTATGTGGTCCTGAATCCGATACGAATCTGATCTTTTCAAATGCAACCTGTGTCGGATAAAATCTTTATCCTACCTGAACGTCATTAATACCCGACAAACGTCACTATTATGCATCTTGCTACGCAGAAGCGGTAGAGCAGTATTTATGTTTAACCGTATTAAAAAGATTGTGTTTTTATGGTTGGAAAAGACCGCTAGATGTGCACCGGCACTAACATCCATGTTTACTTCCGGAAAAAAAGAACACGCTGGCCTGTGATGTCATTGCGTCCTCTACTGCGCATGCGGGACACTTAGGTTGTATGACTGCAGTTGACACAGGAGATCACATACAAGTCACATATATTTGGAAATGTGAACGGCAACGCAAAAAAAAATTGGATTTCGCAAAAAAATCGGAATTGAGCATCAAGGCCTGCAGTGTGAACGTAGCCTGTGTCCTGTAAGAAATCATTTAAACTGAAATGAGAGTAAAAAAGAGCCTCCTTTAAAAGTTTGAAATGATTCCCGCTGACCTTTTGCAGTAATGCTTGTGGCACCGTGTGCGACTCCAACTTCTGGCTGGAGCTGAACTACCTTCAGGTGGCCAGAGCGGCTCAGTCCTGCTCGGCTCACTTCACCGCTCTGCTCTACACGGAGATCTATGTGGACAAGATCAGAGTCAACATGGAGGAGAGCGGCAGGTTTGCAGGAAGACCGTTGTTTTTTAGTTTATATAAGTTAATAATGCATTTAATTGGTTTGATTTGATTAAATGTGCAGAACCAAGTCCAGAGCCACACGCAGGATTAATTTTGAAGAGAACAGCCAGAAATTCAACATCTCCAGTCTGACTGAGAAAAGTATGGAAGACACCAACATCAGTCTGCAGGTCTGATTATTTTAGTTAGCACAGATTTTTTAGATTATTACATTTCTATTTACCTGATTTGGTTTAACTAGATTTAATATACTGCATCTAGGATATTTATTTAACATGTCTGCAGGAGCTGCTTATTGAGGTGTATCGCAGTATCGGGGAGCCGGACAGTCTCTACGGCTGTGGAGGGGAAACCATGACCAGTCCACTCACCAGGTAAGTTGGGGAACATTTCCACTGATCCCCGCTCCACACGCGCACACTTGGTCCTAAATCCATATTTACTTTTTCCCTCTCACCGCGCCTCCCCTAAGGTGCTCTGGCGCCCCCCAGGGGAGGCGCACCTCACACTTTGAAAACCGCCGATCTAAGGCATACTGTAGAATTCAAATAAGATTCTTTAAAGTTTGACTAAATGTATAAAATTGTGCAAACATGGGCTAAACATTTGTGGTCAGACTACAGTTTCTGTTTTTTGTTGTTGTTACAGGATACGAACATATGAGCATGAAGCTATGTGGGGGAAAGCTCTGACTNAGCTGCTTATTGAGGTGTATCGCAGTATTGGTGAGCCGGACAGTCTTTACGGCTGTGGAGGGGAAACCATGACCAGTCCACTCACCAGGTAAGTTGGGGAACATTTCCACTGATCCCCGCTCCACACGCGCACACTTGGTCCTAAATCCATATTTACTTTTTCCCTCTCACCGCGCCTCCCCTAAGGTGCTCTGGCGCCCCCCAGGGGAGGCGCACCTCACACTTTGAAAACCGCCGATCTAAGGCATACTGTAGAATTCAAATAAGATTCTTTAAAGTTTGACTAAATGTACAAAATTATGCATTGTGTAAACATTTGTGGTCAGACTACAGTTTCTGTTTTTTGTTGTTGTTACAGGATACGAACATATGAGCATGAAGCTATGTGGGGGAAAGCTCTGACTTCATACGATCTTCACTCTTCTCTACCTGAAGTTACTCGACTTGTAGGAATTGTCGAGGTAAAACGTCATTTACTGCAATATATACGTTTGGAAGCAAACTGTGATGTGATTCATTTTTCTTATTTTTATTTAAATTAATTTTTCCTCTAAGACCAAAAATTCCTGCAAACGAATCTTGGAATATTCTTAGTAATTTTTCCCCGTATCTGATCAGGGAATGCAGAACTTTGGGCTCAGCAGCATCCTGGCCACCTACATGAGGGGGTTGGAGAGTGAAGGTGTGGAGTGGGGGGCTGAGCTGCGAGAGCGCCGCTTTGAGGCCGCCTGGAGGAACACGCAGTGGGACTGCGAGCAGTCGGAGAGGTGAAGAAGAAGACGCAGGTTTCTTCTGTCATGTCTAAAATCATCTCTAACTTAGAGCTTTGCTTTTTTTTCTCAAAAGTGATAAAGCCACCCCTGGCTTCCATGAGTCTGTGTTTTCTGCCCTGCAAGCACTGAGGGACAAAGAGTTCTCCATATTTGAAGACACCCTTAAACAAGCCAGGTATGATGGGGTTTCAAAGTTTGGCCAAAATGATTACCATATTTTCCAGACTATAAGCCGCTACGTTTTTCCCAAGCTTTGAAAGTTGGAAATGAAAGAATAAGGGGCTAATTTCCATTTAGGACAAGAACAAGCTAGCAGCAGGCATGACGGAGAACAAATGTCCCCAATTCACACATTTTGCCATTCATTTGCCTCATTAAAGCTGCAGAGCTGAAATAGAGCTGATGAAGCACTATCTTTTATTAGAAGCTCTTAATTGGTAGTTAATTGGTGCTAGCATTCTTCTTCCTCCCTACTCCAGGGGCTACATGTTGAGCTCCCCCTACAGGTTTGGTGGGAGACAGTTTCAGTAAATAACAGCGGCTTATCGCATGGTGCCGCTTATATATGTACGTTTCCAGTTTGTTAAAATAAGCTTATAGTGAGGTGTGCCCTATAGTCCAGAAAATACGGTTCTGTTTTACTCAAATGTTCCCCTGCGTAGGGTGGCTGAAGTGGAGGAGCTCTGCAGAGGCACTTTAGAGGCTGTGTCCTCTCTGTATCCGGCCCTGAGGAACCTGCAGAGCATCAGGGAGCTGGAAAGCGTCAAGCAGCTCTTTGTTAGGTGATTTCTCCTTCATTGCATCCTTCAGCTGCATCAGATGAATTTGGGCAAAAATAATTAGTGTGTTTTTTGGTCAGACCCTTCTCTGATGTGACCCTGAGGGAAGTTTGCCACCAGTGGCGGCAGCATTCCCAGCTGCTAGTGGACAGTGACTTTACTGTGGTGGAGCCCATCCTGGCTCTACGCTCTGTAGCGCAGAACACCCTGTTATCCAGAACGGAGGACTCAGAAAGCAACCATCAGCTCAGCGCGGTGCTCACAGAGCACCTGATGGAGCTCTGTCGATTGGCTCGGAAAGCTGGGAATACACAGGTACTCTGCACATTACACAGAGTATTTTTATTCTATTGGTGCAACAAAGAGTGGTGGATAACTATAAAGTAGAAGGAAGGAACTTTGTTTTCAGATTTGCCTTTTTTTATTTTTTACAAATAACATCTTGCTCATTTTAAATGATAAAAAAAAACAAGTAATTGCCATAATCTATGCATTTGTCACTGATACTTAAACACACACTAAACAAGGGGTCTGCAACCTTTTATATCAAAAAGCCCGGCCGAATAAAAGTTCTTTAGAGCCACAAATGTTACGTGACCTTCAAATAAAACACAACTTATTGATTTTGTAAAAATCTGCAATGGTTAATCTGTTGCTGTTTTAAACAACAAACCGTTTGTATTTTTATCCTTTAAGTCTTTAAAACCAGGTGTATTATATGTGCGTTTTAGAGACCTTTGCATCATCGGTGGGACATTTTTGTTTTTGAAAATCATGATTTACACAATAAGATGCATATAGTGAACAGAAAATGTATAAAAAAATTATTTGGAAATGCCTAATGCATCACAAATGATACAAATAACTTATTCTATTTAAATTATTAAAATAATCTATGTTTTTTATCACTGTTTAGCGACAACCCTGGTTTGAAAAATCTGGTCTTTAATAAAAGTTATTTTATGGGTTTTACGGGGTTAAAATAAGAAACAAAATATAAGTTTCTTTATAAGGAAGCATATATTTTCTTCCATCCGATAATAATTAATGTAGAAAATAAAACATAGTTTCCAAGCTAATAACAAAGAAATCTAGATCTATTGACAGGTTTCTGGTTCTTTAATGATATTCTGCTGTGGAAATAAATTCAAATGTTCTTTTTAAAACAGCTTAATCTTCTAAAAATAGTATTTGTTTCTATACCTTAAAAATATGATTTGGTTCTTTATAATAGCCACTTTTAAGAGTGATTGTAGAGGGTACAAAGAGCAACAGGTCCTATTCTCAGTGTAAAACACGGCAGTGGGAGAATCATGATGTTGGAAGGCTTTTCTTCAGCAGATTACAGAATCTACAAATCTTCATATAATTTAGCGAGACTTTACATTTAAACAGATTTAAGGTAGTTTAAACATTCTCTCTCTGTTTGAACACGTTTTCCTAATGCTAGCGTTGTAACCACTGCTAAGCTTGCAGAGCGTGCAGTCTACCAGATGAAGCAGCACAGCGACGGAGGAACCTGGGCGTCTTCTCCTGTGTTGTCATGGCAGCTGGAGGAGGCCCAGGTGTTCTGGGCAAAGGGAGAGCAGGGTCTGGCTCTAGGCCTGCTGAGGCAGATGATCCACAGCCTGGAAGCCAAGGTCAAACACAAAAAACTGACAAATATCTACTACAATGTTGTTGGTTTACTAACAACTTTATGTGAATGAATTAAGAAATATTTATTTTATGTGAAGTTAAAAGCATTGTGTCAAGGAATTGCGTATTGATCCGATTTATGTTGATCAGGTTGATTTCAATCCAGCTCTGCCTCCCCTCTTCACCGAGTGCCTCAGGCTGTGTGGGAACTGGCTGGCTGAAACCTGCCTGGAAAGTCCTGGAGTCATACTGGAAAAGTACCTGGAGAGGGTAAGAGGGCTCTGGCTTCCCACTAGCATGAACATTGGAAACACAGATCAGGATTCAGTCCTAGACTAGACTGCAGACGGGATTCTGGTTTTGCTCCAACCATGAATTCAATAGTTGATGGAATTGGTTTGATACTAATGGTGCAGCAGTCGGTCAGCCAGGGATAAAAGTTGTTTCTCGGATGGCAAAAAAACAAAACAAAAAAACTCTGTTCATTAAACCAAAGCCAAAAATCTCCCATGGCTACATAATGTTCTCTGTTACACTATGAGTTGTCGGTGTAAAGACTCAAAACATGGAGCAGAAGTGAATGTATGTGAGAAATACAAAGGTTCCCCCTGCGATTTGGGCCACAGTTCTCTCTTTCTCTGTCCGAAGTTATATAATTTTTGGTCTAACTACTTCTCAATTATGTCTTCTGTCTTGAAAGTAAATTTGCAACCTTGTCAAGTATCCACAACCCTAGTTTAGTTCTAAGCTCTGCTCAAAAAGAGATAATTGCCTTCTCATCATTACTGGCATGGCGTGTTTTACTTTTACACTGGAAGTCCAATAAATGTCCCTCAATATCCCTCTCGGTTAAAGACATGATGTTTTTTCTGGAGTTTGAGAAAATCAAATATACCCTTCGAGGGTCTACACAGAAGTTTTACCAAAAGTGGCAATTCTTTCTATCCTATTTTATAAACACCCGATTGAAGGTGCCTGCCATCAGATTTGGTGTTGGTTTACATGCAGGGGATTTCATACCTGATGAATGACATCCATTTGTTTTATTTTCTCCAATAAAAATCTTTGAAAAAAAAAAAACTTGGAGCAGAGACAACAGGCCAGGATTTTGATTCTGATAAAAAAAAAAAAAAACATATCAGACAATCTAGGCACTAGTTATCTGTTTCAAGTTTCAGGTATTTGTGAAAAAGAGAAACTACCCTGAGTGTATTTATGGAAGGTAATGGGGTTGCATTAAACAGTACTAACTTTGTTAGCTGGGCCACCAGCTACTCGCCCCACATAACAGGAACCACTGCTGGTCAAACTCCAACAATTACCGTAACCTACAGGCCACAACTGTAGCACTTCACTGAATTGAATCAACACGGGTTTAACAAAATGGTTCACCAAAAAAACCAAACGTTTGCCTTCATGCTGTTACTCAGCAGTCCAGGAGGAGAAAAGCTAGAGCTGCTCCTGCTTTCAAAGCACTCTTCACCTCTGAACCGTGACACCAAGGTCATCCCCAATTTGTCTCTTTCCTTATGTGACAACTTATTTGTTTAAGACCATATTTTTTCTATAGCATTAAGTCCCGATTGACTTCAGGTTAACTTTTTAGTCTGCTGGAGGTACTTTCTGCTATTTTTCTCCTATGCTACGCTGGTACGCCATGAGTGGAAGCTGTTCACATGAACGCACACATAAGCACGGCCAGTCTGTCGCACAGAGAGAGACCTCTTACCATAATTCATCTGAAAAGATAACCTTTACTTCTTCAAAAAACTCTTTTTAAAAAAAAAAAACTTTTTATTTAAAATAATGAAAAGTCACTGATTGCTCCTTTAAACATCATCATGGAATAAACCGACGAGATCGTTCGTTCTAGAATGTAAACATACGGAGAAAGGAAAACAGCTCTAATATGTAAACATGAAACCAGACGGGTCTCAAGTGTGATATATGTGACGCTACGCCCTCCCTGAAATAACAGCAGGCCTACCCGAAAGAAACAAATGAGTCACAGTGAGAATAAATGATTAATTTATGTCCAGATAAATCAGAAGAGGCTGATCTGATAAATAATACATTTCTGGAAGTTTATGGTTTATTCCCTGCGGCTGTGGCAGCTTCAGATGAATAGAATGGAATAAATCATACAGGTTTATTTCTCTCAGGACCCACAGTTTCGATGTGGAGCCTCTGCTGCTGTTTTTTCCAAAACCTCTTGTACAATAGATGCATATTTTCCAGATGCTCTGTTAGTTTCACCCTCACTTTTGTAATGTTAAAACTGCTTATAACTGCCCATAACTTTTCAGATCTTATAAACTATCCTTCATGCTGTTCTCCCATCAGGCGGTGGAGGTAATAGAGGCGAACTCTGGAGCGCGGGACTCCAGGCTGCAAAGCCAGCGGACCCAGGCTTTCTTGTCTCTGGCTCGCTTCTCTGACGCTCAGTACCAGAGCATCGACAAGTACATGAACTCGTCCGAGTTTGAGAACAAGCGGACGCTGCTGGAGAAGGCCAAGGAGGAAGTGGATCTGATGAAGGAGCGTAAAGTGACTTCCAACAGGTTGGTGTGCTGTAAGGAGTAAAAACAGGGCTCTAGGTTATTGTAGACGCCACGACACAGAATTCTTTTAACATAAACACTATATAAGTTAAGAGCGTTTTCTAGCAGATCTTCCGTGTTTTTTTACTCCACATTCTCTTGCATCTCTGCTATCCCTCTCCTGACAAAATATGTGGAAGCATGACATGATCAATTAAAAAACTTGGGATGCAACAATCCATCAAGAGTACAAACATGTAGTTTTACAATTATTATGAGCTTGGATAAAATCACATTCATAGATTGTATTTTTTTTTTCCTTTTGGGCTTTCCAGGGTTTGAGGTGCGGTTTTCCGCTTGGTCCTAGTGCTCGATGATTGTCTGTGTATTTTAGCGTGACTTTGTTTTTTGGACACTAGAAAGTGCATGGGACCAAAACAGACTTTTGAAAAAGTGCAGACATGTCATTACATCCGTGGTTGACTTTAACTGATGAAATGACTTCATAGGTACACCGTAAAGGTGCAAAGGGAGCTGGAGCTGGACGAAAAGGCCTTGTCCAACCTAAGAACAGACCGACAGCGCTTTCTATGCAAGGCGGTGGAGAATTACATTCAGTGTCTGGAACAAGGGGAGGAGCATGACACCTGGATTTTCCGTCTGGCTTCGCTCTGGCTGGAAAACGCTGAGATTAAAGATGTCAACGACATAATGAAGGTTGGTTAACATCCGCATGTGATTAACCAGGATGTCAACATGCTCTATTTTTATAACTGAATTTTTTTTTCCTTTTTTTCTACCCAGACGGGAGTGAAACAGATCCCGTCCTACAAGTTTTTGCCCCTCATGTATCAACTGGCTGCCCGCATGGGAACGAAAATGGCGGCCGGCGTCTCTGAGGACACAGGATTCCATGAAGTCCTTATTGATGTAAATCAGATCTTTGTCTTTTCAAAACCACGTAAATGACTGAAAACGGATATTTTTCACTTGCACTACCTGTTCACCCTTTATCTGACATTAGATCTGACTTTATATTCCAGTTAACGTAACTAAAGATATTTGTTTCCATTAAATGCTAAAATAGAAAATGTTGGGTCAAATGTTTTAAGTATCTTCCTACAAACTTGCTGGAGTTTGGGCTCATTCATTCTGACAGTGCTAATACCTCAGAGCCAGTGGAGGTCAGCTGTGATCTCACACCTTTTCTGCACAGTCATCCCACATAATTCAACATAACTTTCTTTATTCATGATTTTTTCCCATTTTTGAAGTCCGTCCGTCTCTCCAGCAACAAAACTCCTTTGGCATGGTGTTCTCAGGCTTCCATGCTTTATCATTTTTCTCACAATGCTTAAAGGCGGATCAACTTTAGTATAAAATTTCGCATATGGAGAAAATTCTGGATCTTTTATCGTTTTATTCTGGTATTTAGCACTCAGAAATAAAAATGGTGGTGATTCTAACTGAGCTAAACTAGGAAAATGTCTCCAATATTAAGTCAGACTTTGAAAAAAATGTATTTTTATACAGTCTGTATCTGATCTATTAGCACAAATGATAGAGTAATTAAACCTGAAGAGGATTCAGTCTAAATATCTGGTATAGTCAGTACTTGATGAGCTAAACATGCAGGTTAAATCTCTCCTTCCTCTTCAGTCAGACTATGGCTTTCTTTTATTACTGAGCTAAAGGCTCATATGAGTGATCTCTGTCTGTGCCTGCTTTGGTTTCCCTCCTCAGCTCATCTGCAGGGCGTCTTTGGAACATCCTCACCACACACTCTTCATCATCTTCGCTCTGGTCAACGCCAACAAAGATGAGAGCTTCTGCAGGATGCGGCCATCAAAAAGCGCTCCGCGGCAGCTGTCGCAGTTTGATCAGGTGAGACTTTTTTTCGACATCGTTAGGAAATGTGTATTATTTCTTGCCTTGACTTGATGTTTAGATATTTTTGTTTTAAAGAAAAATAGAAAATAAGTTGAAAACTGTCTAATTAAGGCAAATATATTAAAATGTAAACATAAAAACGCTGTAATTCTGTATTTTTGACTTCCTCAGTGGATAAAAGCTCAGCTAAAAAAAAAAAACAACTTTCTGATCCAAACTGTTATAGAATAGAAACTGCTCTCCTTATAAAATGTTCCTCATAATAAGATCTCTGTGTCGGTCAGGTTGGGTTTAAAGCAATGTATCATCCTTGGTTTTTAATGGCACCACATCGTTTTTGTTTTCCAAACTAATGCAGGAGCGCTCCGATGTGGCTCGGAAGATCATTTCTGTGATCAGGAAGAAGCGAGGCAGCATGATCCGAGGGATCGAGCGTCTGTGTGACGCCTACATCACTCTGGCTTACATGGACGCCAGCAGGCACAAAACTGAGAAGAGTGAGTCGTTATCAGCCACATTGCGGAAAAGTCCTAAAAACATCCTCAATGTGTTTTGATTTAGTTTTGCTTTCTAAGAGCCAGAGCCATATTTTAATCCTTTAAATTTACTTAGTTATCTAAATGTCTTTACATTTTTTACAAGGTTTAAATTTTTTTCCGTAGTTCTAAATTTCTCATATAGGAATGATTTTTCTGGAAAAAATACTCAAAAATAGAAAATTGCAAATGCAACAGACAGGCTTTCTACAGAATGGTTCAGATCAGACTCTACTTTTTAAGGAAGCTTACTGTATGTCCTTCAGTGTTTGCAGCAAGATGCTGTAAATCTTCTGAGTGTGATCCCTTTCTGGGGTAACAGCATAAGAGCCAATGGCCTATATAAGAATAACAAGCTGATAAAGAAGGGCAGTTCTCTTTTCAGAACTCCTATGAGAGAAAATCTTTATGAATAAAACTGAGCATCCTCTGCAGAAGACTGGTAAACAACAACAAGGTGTCTTCAGTCAGAGGATTCTTCAGATCTGATGCAAGGCAGACCACTACAGGAGATACTTCTTAGTTAAAGCTATCAACGTCAACAACTTGTTGGAAAAAACAATGAGTTACAACAATTTATTCATGTTTTAGATCATTTAAGTATTTTTGGATTCAAATGAATTTAGAAATATTTTATTCCTCGATTCTGGTCTTAAAATTAGTCAAAAAGAGACAGAAATATACCGTATTTTCCAAACTATAGAGTGCTCCTCACTATACACATACCCACTAAGTAAAAAAAAAAAAAAAAGAAAAACTGGAAATGTACATATATAAGCCGGAGATATCCACTGAACTGTTCCCCACCAAACTGGTATTGGGGGCTCCACATATCACCCTTAGAGCAGCTTACTGGTTCGTGGAAATAAAAGATGGGGCTTCATCAGCTCTTTATTTCAGCTCTGCAGGAGTTGAGCACAGTCTACCCATTGGTTCGACAGATTTAATGCAACAAATAAATCTCAAAATATTTGAATTCGGTACAATTGTTCTCCGTCGTCCCTGCTGCTCACATGCTCTTGTGCTAGATGAAAATTAGCCCCTTATTCTTTAATTTCCAGCTTTGACTTCTGACCCCTGATGGTTGGAAAAAAATTAATAGCAAGGCCGCACCTTCGTATCAACCACATGATTAAAAGCGTGGCGAAAAAGTAGCGGCCTATTATCCGGAAATACGGTAGTTAGAAATTTTTTTTTTAAAAAGGAGTGATGTTTTAGAAATGCTGGACTAAAACTTAGCAAGTCCATATAGAAGAATTAGAAGAGAGTTTAACCTATTTGAAGCACAGTCTTTATTTGTAGTATTGTGAGTTTTCGGTGGTTTACTCTGTCAAGCAAACAGATTTGTGCTTCATCTCTGTGCTCATCCTGTACATCAGAGGCCATTCCCATCCCTGCTGATCAGCCCATCATGCAGCTCAAAGACCTGGACGAGGTGGTCATCCCCACCATGGAGATTAAGGTGGGTCTTTAACGACCGACCAAACATTTTAGCTCAACATTTACGACATAAGCTGGATAAAAACATCAACCTTTGGTGTTTGTAAACAGGTCGATCCGTCTGGTTGCTATGAAAACCTGGTGACTGTTAGAGGCTTCCTGCCTCACTACCACCTCGCCGGAGGAGTCAACCTGCCCAAGATCATCGACTGTGTGGGCTCTGACGGCAAGAGCAGGAGACAGCTGGTGAAGGTAAGCTGGTGTGGGTTTATTGGTGTTCCACATGCAGCATATCAAGTGTTAAAAGTTCAGCTGTGAAGAGCTGTAAACACTCATCTGTTCTGAACTAAGCTCTCTGACGAGAACCTGGTCACTCTGGTTATTTTCCATTAGGTTTGGCTTCAGGTAATAATTAATCAAGTGTTTTATGCCCAGACAAACATGCTCTCACACCTCTATAATGAAGACACTCCTAATGGAGAGATAGAACAGGGAAGGTGTGTGGATACATGTGTGTGAAAGTGTGTTTGCAGAAACATTCTGGGGACACTTAAAGGCTAATGATTTACCAAATGTTAGTCATGCTTAGGTTTTATTTTCCCCTAATATGTTTTTTATTCTTGCAGTTCAGAGCTGACCTCTCAAGAGTTCAACATAGACTTTAATGAATATCTCGCCCACTTAAAAAAACGGATCCAAAAATATATATGAATTTTCTTAAAATACGTGTATTTGTCTTGAATAGAATAAGTGTTTGTGCTCTTGGATAAGATGATCAGATATTATGCACTTGAAATAAGATCCATCCATCAGTCACGCTTATCCCTGCTGGGTTGCGAGGGGTCCTGGTGCCTAAATGCGGGATACACCGCAATAGATACACCCGTCATACAGTTCACAGGGAAACACAGAGACAAACAACTATTCACCTACTTACTCACATCTAAGGAGAATTTAGAGAAGCCAGTTAACCTAACAGTCATGTTTTTGGATCGTGGTAGGAAGCTGGAGTACCTGTAGAGAACCCACTCATGCACAGAGAGAACAAGCAACCTGCATGCAGAAAGGCCCTGGACCAGGAATTGAAACCAGAACCTTCTTGCTGCCCACTGCAGCACTGTGCAGAAATAAGATAATGTAGATGTTTTGTTTTTTTTGTGGTCATTTTAAATGTTATGCTACGTTCACACCGAACGCAGCAGGAGCAGCAAAATCGCGTCTGCTGCTTCCTTTTTGCTGCTTGTACCAGTTTAGTTCTGATGCGCGACTGAAGCAGCTTTGCTGCTCTGGGTGCGCGGTGGAAAGTGTGTCTGACGCGCGTTGGGCGGAGCTACTCTATCCTTTCTTTGCCTTGCAGCTATATTTGCTGTGATCAGTGGGAATAAAGTAGTTTTAATATGTTTTAAGTGAGAAAATCCACCTGAAAACGTAATCAGTGCAGTCAGTTCATCCAGATTACCATCCTGCCTTCCAATATTATTTCTGTCAGAGCCGCTCCGATCCCCGCATACCAGCGGTGCGCTGTCAGTAGGAATCCCATTGAAGAGCAGCCTATGGCCCGGTCACCTCCTCGCGGTTTGCAGCGGTGGCTGGAAGGTGGTTTTCGTGTCCATAATCCAAACTGCAGGAACCAGGATAATAGAAGCGAACACGCTTTGTCAGTAGGTTTCAGCATTCTAAGTTAAAGGCGCTAATAAACTGTTTCAGAGGAGCGATCATAGCGCTTTGTGTCATTAGCGATGTGTCTGTCTCCCTGCCAGCTCCCAGATCAGCGTCTCTTATTGGTTGATGCGGCACGTTGAGCAGCAAAAGTTCGATTTGTCCATCTTGAGCAGCAGCGCGTTTACGGTGCGTCGTGCGCGTCAGATGCTTAAACGCTCCAGACGCACCGCTTCAGCTGCTCAGACGCGCTGCGGGATTTTTTGCTGCACCTTGATGCGTGTCAACCATTGACTTTGCATGTGAACTCGCTGCGCCTGCTGCGTCCGGTGTGAACGCAGTGATCCTATTCCATGGGCAAATCATCTTACCGTTCACCCATTGATAGAAAAAGGACTTTAATTACATTAATTTTTACAACAAACATTTTTCAGTAATTAGGGAATGTCCATTAGAGTGGGCAGAGAAATGTTTGTCACATGAGAGCAGAACTTAAATAGAGCAGATCCCACATAGAGAGGATGAATGTTTAATACTTTACAGCACTGACTCATTAAAGGAGTGAGCAGTTACCTAGAATACTTATTTACCTCTGCCAACGAGGTCATGTTTTCATCACTGTTGGTTCGTTGCTTGTTTTGTCTGTTTGAAATGACAAAAGTACGGACGGATTTTGATGAAATATACAGAGAAAGGTGGGTATTATGAGCGGTAATAAATTATTAAACTTTAGTGATGATCCGGTTCACCGTCTGGATCCAGGAATGTTTTTAATACAGGCATTAACTTAAGGTGGGAGTCGCAATACTTCGGGAAATTAGCTTTTTAGTTGAAATATGAAATATTTTAGTTTATTAAGTTCATATTTCAGTATAACGTCATCCACTCCCCCTTGTGACCTGTTTCTGTGAGCAGGGTCAGGACGACCTGCGGCAGGACGCAGTGATGCAACAGGTTTTCAGCATGTGCTCCATGCTGCTGCAGCGCAACACGGACACCCGGAAGAGAAAGCTGAACATCAGACGATACAAGGTGAGGAAAAAAGTCCTGAATGTGGCTGTCAGTCGCAGGGATCTGGTTGCTGTTTGCAGCATTTCTGATGACCTCGTCTTTCAGGTGGTGCCGTTCTCACAGCGCAGCGGCGTGCTGGAGTGGTGCTCGGGCACCGTGCCCATCGGGGAGTTTCTGGTGGAACCCAATAAAGGAGCTCACAAACGGTTCCGGCCTCAAGACTGGACCAACCTGGCCTGCCGAAGGAGGATGATGGTTCATTACACATCCTGAATAGTAGATGGGATACAGATTATTTTTGTAAAGGTTGGAAAAAAAGATCCAACTTCTGCTTTGTTTCTTGGCTCTCTGCAGGAGGCTCAGAGGCAGGGCTTTGATGAGAAGCTTGAGGCTTACGCTGAGGTGTGTAAGAAGTTCAGACCGGTCTTTAGGTACTTCTGCATGGAAAGATTCCTAGACCCAGCAGTGTGGATGGAGAAGCGACTGGCCTACACACGAAGCGTGGCCACATCCTCCATAGGTATCACCGTGCTGCAGGGTTGTCGGTTACATAATCATAACCTTATTTGGTGATTATTACTCCTCATGTTTCCCACCTACAGTTGGCTACATCGTTGGCCTCGGGGACAGACATATCCAGAATATCCTGATTGATGAACAGAGCGCTGAACTAGTCCACATCGACTTGGGTATTCTTTATTCTCTTTTGGGTGAATTCAGACAAACTTGCGTAGCCTGGACCCTAAATGTGTACCTCTGCTGAATTGTGGTGTTTAAGGTGTGGCGTTCGAGCAGGGGAAGATCCTCCCAACCCCTGAAACCGTTCCCTTCAGGCTCTCTAGAGACATAGTGGACGGGATGGGCATCACCGGAGTGGAGGGGGTCTTTAGGAGGTATGGATGACATCAGCTTTATAATACCTTGTAAAAATGTTCATAACTCTTCAGCCTGGATACATTTTTTGGAGCTACAAAAACAAACATCAATGAATTTAATTGAGGGTTTTGTGTGGATCTTAAGAATAGAAATGCACATTTTTTATATTCGTATTTATGAAACCATCACTGGACAATGTTTGGTTCCTAGCAAGATAGAAGAAAACTTATATAATTTATGTTCTCTGATTATTTAATTTAGTTTTTTGTGTCTAACTTTACACCGTAACAGGGAGTGTCAAACTGATTTTTATATCCGGCTACTTCGGCGCCTCTAAAAAGACATTTTGTACGTTTTTACTAAAAAAATATCTTTAAAATAGCCTTTTTATTTGACCCTTTAGGACTAAAAGAGCAGACTGACACCTCAGTAGTTTAGCACCGGGCATTTAAAGACCTTCTTAGACCAAATAACTTTCCTTTCACTCTGCATGCATCTGTAGGACAATTATATAAAAAAATGGTTTTAAGGTACTTTAGATATAGAAATAAGCTGATTGCAAACTAATTCTCTTCTCAGATGTTGTGAGAAGACGATGGAGGTGATGAGGAGCTCTCAGGAGGCTCTCTTGACAATCGTAGAGGTACGGGAACTGGAGAACAGATCACAACACAGAGCCCCTCCCCTTTCACCTTTTATATTAAGCTAATGTTTGTCTTTTGGGCCGACAGGTGCTGCTGTATGACCCATTGTTTGACTGGACCATGAACCCTCTGAAGGCCTTCTACCTGCAGCACGACGAACACCAGGAGCTCAATGCCACCCTGAGCTCCACCATGGGAGGAGAAGACCTCGTCAACCATCGTAAATCCAGGTGATCAATAGCAGCCTTTTCTGCTGCATTTAGTTTTCATTAAACCTCTTATTTAAACTCTTTCTTTTTTGGTTCCATCTGCAGTGACAGCCAGAGCTCCAACAAGGTGGCAGAGAGGGTGCTGCTGCGTCTGCAGGAGAAGCTGAAAGGGGTGGAGGAGGGAACGGTGCTCAGCGTGGGGGGGCAGGTCAACCTGCTCATTCAACAAGCCATGGACCCCAAAAACCTCAGCAGGCTGTTTCCAGGATGGCAGGCCTGGGTGTAAACCTCCCCATCGACATCAGTTGTTCTGGAGCCTTAATGGCAGATCAGTACTGCAGCGGCTCTGTAGATCCGTTTCTGCCAACTTTGCACTTTATGAGGAAGCTGTGGATCCAATGTAGCCATGCCTAAAAAAAGTGGAAGTGTTCTTTAGAAAATGTTGGTCCTTAGCTTTTTTTTCATCAGGTTCAATGTGAATGTTTTCTTTCTGTCCACTGAAGCATGATGGATGATGATGATGAGACTTCTGCCATTGGCTATCCAAAGAGCACGCTTTATGAATGTATGATACTTTAAGCCTCATGCAGTGCATTTCATCTTTTTACTCACTGTTTTTTTTTCTCTATCCTACTGTATTTCATCTCTGGATGTTTTCTTTCAGCATAGAATAATTAAAGAGAAAACAAAGATGTCATCTGAATACAGTTTGTTCTTCAAAACAACTTTAGCTAATATCAAAAGCTCCTTCTGTGTACCTCTGATACTTGATGTTATTGTTCTTGCAAGGATTAAAACAACAGATCATAAAAAAGAGGTTGTATTTAAGCATGAAAATGGGAGCAAGACAACAGAAGAAGAGGGTCATCTATTTGGGGGGAGAAAAACAGGATTCAGAATCATTTTGAAAATTGTTTTCAGTTCTTCACATTGGAAGCTGCTTCCTTTTCTGGATCATTTTCAACTTTTTTTTTTAAATTCCATCCATCTTCAAAATACATTGCCTTAAATTTAAAAATTAGGCAAAAGAAATATGGAAAACTCCAGGAAAATGTTGGCATGAAAAAAGAAAGGGGGCATTAAAATGAGCAGAAACCCTCTAAATACAAAAAAAGATCCTTTCATATCACTTTGATCCTTTAATTCCCTGTAATCCACAGCTATGGCTGAAGGTTTTGTAAAAAAAAAAAAAGCTCAAATCTTTTTTTATTCTTGCATGCTATGGGATTTCGTTTAGATTGCCATCAAAAGTTATGAGAATTGGTTACAATATTTTTATAGCACAAGTGGCTCATTTTTTTTGACTGATCAGATTCGAACCCTGTTTGGTCGCCTTGAGGACTAAGGCCTTTTTTTTTTTTTGGTATTTGAGCCCCATCATAAACTGAACTGCCAGCCCATTAATTATTTCATGGTTCAGAGGAATATTCAGCAATGAAGAAGAGGTGAAAGATTCCTTTATAAAGGGATGCTTGGAATTATTCTCCCTTAGACAGACCTGGTAACCATCCAGGAAACATGTGGTATCATTTTAGTTTTGCATCTAAAGAGCTCCACAGGCCAGAATGATGATGCTGATACGATTGCATTTAAATCAAATATTAATCAAATCTTCCAAATAACCTCAAGGAGAGATTTAGCTGCAATAAGTAACCAATTTAAGAGTGACCTAGGAAGGCCAATGAGTGCTTTGCTATTCCTGGAGAGTATTCAAATAAGGGTAGGGTTGCCGCCAGGGCAGAGCTTGCTCTGGAATGGAGGTGGGGCAAAGATGAGTATTTCAGTTTCAACGCTGAGATTGAAGGTTTTGTTTGCTGGCTGAGTGTCAGGAAGTGTTGCATAAAACAATAAACATCCTGGACAGTCTGTAATTCAACAGGAAGAACATTTTTTTGTTTTAACCCCCTTTAGGCTTTTGTAGACATCTTTAAAAGGACTGATCCAGGAAAGGAAAGGAAAGGAAAGGAAAGGAAAGGTTAACTACAAGGAATCCCACATCATATTTACAGTTAAGACCAGGAATGTGTGGTGGCTCACTGCCACAAATAAAGAAAGGTGCAAAACATCTTAAAGGGAAATTTCCCTTCAGCTTTGTACATATAGGAGAGATTTGATAACGAATTATACTTTTTTTCCAGCAAAATGTGGCATCATATCACAAGCAGCCACTAATAACCAGGTGGCTCAGGAGCAACATTGGGATTTTGGATCCATGGTAAGGCAAGGCAAGGCAAGGCAGATTAATTTGTATAGCACAATTCAGTACAAAGACAATGCAAAGTGCTTTACGTGATTAAAATAAAGGGAAATAAAACACAATCAGAGCAAGTAGAAGAAAAAATAAAAGAATAAATAATAAAAAAAGATGCAGAAACAAGAAAGAACATTAAAAGCAGTTGGACTAAAGAAAATAAAAAAAACAAAAAAAATGAACTAAAGATGTTTCAGTGGAACTTTTTAACTAGAACAGTCGAAGGCAATCCTAAACAAATCTGTTTTTAGTCTTGATTTAAAGGAACTCAGGCTTTCCGCACTTTTACAGTTTTCTGGAAGTTTGTTCCAGATAAGTGGAGCATAGGAACTAAATGCTGCTTCTCCATGTTTAGTTCTGGTTCTAGGTATGCAGAGCAGGCTGGAGCCAGAAATAGCAAGTCTGTGATGTATTTAGGTGCTAAGCCATTCAGGGATTTATAGACTAACAGAAGTATTTTAAAGTCTATTCTCTGAGATACAGGAAACCAGTGTAAGGCTTTAGAACTGGGGTGATGTGCTCTACTTTCTTAGTCTTAGTGAGGACACGGGCAGCAGCGTTCTGGATCAGCTGCAGCTGTCTGATCCACTTTTTAGGGAGACCTGTGAAAACACCATTACAGTAATCGATTCAACTAAAAGTAAACGCATGGATCAGTTTTTCCAGATCATGCTGAGACATTAGTCCTTCAATCCTGGTAAAGAATTTCCCTGGATTTGAACCAGTAAAAAAACGTTAGGGTTAGTGTTAAAACAAAAGCTAAAGTAATGAGTCATCATCGATTAGGATTCAGCCCAGAAGCTAAAAATACAGCATGCTTGGGCCAAATTGACAAAGGCTTGGGAAAGAAAAGTACAGTTGGAAAGTACTGATGATTTGCAGTGAAGTGATCTAAAATCTTATAAAAAAATTATATGAAGTGTTTGATATTTTACTTAAACAGCCTCGAGCAAGAAAAATCTACGTCTTTTCTTTAACTTTTAATCCTATTCCCTTATAAAAATAACAGGGAGTGGTGACCTAATGGTTAGGGCATAGAGCTTGGACTGCCACTCTGCTCCCTGGGTGTCCCACGATGGCAGCCCACTGCTCCTCAAGGGGATGGGTTAAATGCAGAGTTAAATTTCTCCAATTTGAGAATATTATTATTAAATCCCATCTGAAGTGTTCTTTCCTTTTATCCATATATGTCTGAGTAAACCTCACTACTTCTGCTCTCTGAGCAGCAGCACCTCTCTTTCCGGGAAAAATAGTGACCATCACATTTCTATGTTGAGAAGTGAATATCCAACCCCTCCAGGAAGCACCTACTTTGACCACACTGTGTCTGCCCGATAAACAACACACCCATTTTATCTAATTGTCATGCAGTGCTGTAAAGCAGAGTCTGATGATGTCTGCCCAAAGGGGCTCTGTATCTGTGTGGCAGTAACCCTGCCACAAACAACAGCTACAAATGTGCGGGCTGCTCACCTCTCACTTTCCCCCTTCATACAGAAGACGATGCAACTACATTTTACTTAGAGACTGTATATTTGTGCAAATTGTGCAGAGTTGATATTCAGGCAATGCAGAACCTTCCTGTTGGGGTTTGTACATGTATTTACTATGAAATGATCAAACTCAATATATTTATTTGTTTCAAGGCAACTCATCAGCAACTACTGTGCTGACAAATCGGAGGAGTGGAATACGGTACAAAAACAAACTTTCTTATTTTCAACATGATCATATGACATTGCTTCGCCACAGTTAGATTCATTACCTTATCTCTATTAATCTTTTCCACAGGCACTGGAAACACAAATGTAGTTCAATGACCGGGAGATCAGGATTATACCATGCTATGCTCTTTACTACGCTGGTGCTAATGGGAAATGTTGTCTTCCTTCAGGCATAACAATACAGCTTTTATATTGTTGGGGGGAAATGAAACTGAAAGGTATTTAGTGCTGCTTTCAGAAAGTCTCTAGGGCGGCATCAGGGAGAAGCCGCCTCATAGTAAAGTTTTTCTTCCTTAAACAATATTTTAAAATGAATAAATACTCCATAGTGCCAAAGGCAATATTTTCTCATATATATGCCTATAGTTGACTTTAGAAGGTTTAAAAAAAAAAAAAGCATGATATAAGAACAAAAGGGTGCCATAGAAACCCATTCAGGTGAGTGTGACATCACTGATCCGAAAGTGGTGGAGCTAGGCGTTTATTGTTGCGGGGCAAGGTTATCTCAAAGGGGTCCAGTGCCTCCTCTTCCAGCTTCTAGCTTCGCCCCTGCAGTGAACAAATACACCCCTAAAAAATATCAAACACTAATATCAAACATTTATAAAATGTGCAGACTGTATTAAAATAAAGCCTGCACATTTCTGATGAGGCGTTGATGTTGTTTCCCTGCAGGCTCCAAGCTGTGTTTTAGTTTTTCACTGCACATTTACTGCAATGTGAGAAAACCATCACAACATTCAGCCTGTTTTTCCAGCTTTTGTTCTATTTGCTTTATGCCTATTTGGGAAACTTTTAAGTGACTGCGTGTTAAGAGCAGGAGGGGCCTTTCATATGTTTACACAAACTGATTAATTTGACTATTTGCACTGTGATAATACTGCGGGCAGAGAGGAGACGTTAAAGGTCCTTAACTTGTCAGTCTTTTCACTTTCAGAGTCAAACACGGATTCGTTATGTGGACGAGAAGCTAACTGATGTTTGAAGGATCACAGGAACTTAATCCCTAAGAGATTATTGTCAGATTAATAGAAGATGATCACCAATCCAGTAAGTTTTCTTTCCCACTGAATTTCTTAAAAGAAATTATTCATTTTTGTATTATTTACATTGGTTTAAATTAAAAAAGTATCATTTTTAGTTTCTTCTTTGACAGAAATATAAACCCTATCAGAATCTGGGGTGTGTATTGCTACCTCAGATAACATATAGATTAAAATTTCAGGGTAAACTTTCTGTTCACAAAAAAGTCACACTGACACACTAAATATTTCAGATTTTAAACAGTAATACATGTTGATTTTAAGCACTTATCTTTATATTTGACTTTCAAGAATAACCTGTATGCTTTACCAACAGTATCTCAATACAGATCAACCCTTCATGCATGAAGATGACAAAATACAATTCACACCAAAGAAAGGATCAGATGTTAAGCTCCAATATGTTCACCATGTGTCCCCAAACCCCCCACCAGAGATCGGCAGCTCCAACCCCCCCAAGAAAGGTAAATGTGTCTTTCTTTTTCTATGAACTTTTGATCAATAATTATCCTTTTAAGATATAGGAAAAAAAATATTCAGGCTGCAAGCATTTAAAATATACAAAATAAATTGGAACAAGAATCAATCTACAGAAGTTGGATTAATTGCTACTATTAGAAATTTGGCACCATTGCTATTCCCTGACAAAGCATCAGATAAACAGACTTTATTTGCTTAAGTCAGAAACAAATCGCTCCCATAGTGATTGATAATCAGGAATGTCGTTAAAGTATTGAACTAAAGCATACTTGGCACTTAGAGACTGACAAGATGTGTGCAGAGAAATTAATCAGCAATATCAAAGATTTCCAAAGATGTTTACTTACAGCAAAACGCTGCGTTTAAAAGCCAGAAACATTTCCACATCAAAATTAATAGAATGGATTTGATCATTTTAAATATAAATGGACAGCTCCTACACAAAATATTCTAAAGTTGATCATTTTAAAATATTAAAATTACAAACTTCAATCCATTTTACAGGAATTTCATGTGTGAACAAATTACCTCAGAACTGCGAAGTAGACATAGTAGAAGAAAAGAAAGCATGTTTGTTTTAATATATTTAGCAAATATAAATATAAAAAGAATTTGCTTACATGTATTCAGCTCCCTAGTACTCTGATCCCCTAAAATAAAATCTAGTGCAATGATTTGCCCTCATATCTCACCTAACCAGTAACCTGTGTGTAATCCAATCTAAAGTATAAACCCTGCTGTTTTGTTCCAATGAACTATAATTAAAAACAACTGGGCAATGATAAATTTTATATTCAGATTTGAGGCAGAGTTAGACTATAAAACATTTTTTCGAAGCTTAAAGGTCCAGTTTCATGTCTGCAGTGTACGAGACGCTACAGTCAGATGAGAGGAAAGCTGGAAGAAAAAACTTGCATGTTTTAAAAATCTGGCCTTTATAAAAAAGTATTCATAAATAAAATTAATTATAAATAATGTGTAATGCAATAAAAGGTGATGGATACTTTGATGAGTGCTTTATGTGAGAAAACTGCCATCACACCAATAAAAACATTATCCTGTAGCTTTAAATTTGCAAAAACTTTAGGCTCAGACTATGGATTACTCTTTAGAGACAACAAAATGCATATTTATAGTTTGGGTTAAAATGATGAAAATCTGAAGCAGCAGCTGTAGTTAGTGGGGATGGATACAGATGTGCTTTTACTCACTGTGATGTTTTGTCAGATGTCAAAGAGAGATGGCTGAAGTTCACCGTAGCGGCTGTGATCTCCCTGCTGCTCCTCCTGATGGTGGCTGGCATCCTCCTCGGTTATTACTGTGAGAGCATGATTTACCTGAACCATTATCCCTGCAGCTTTTTTTTAGATAAATTAGTATTTTTAAAAGCTTTTCTTTTTTGGGGGGTTTCTTTGTTACGGTACATGTTTCAGATTCCTCATCCTGTCTACATGGGATGCGGTGTGGGGATGGGAACTGTGTGTGGGACTCTGAGTGGTGTGACGGGGTCAAGAACTGTCCTGCAGGCCAGGATGAAGCTAACTGTGGTAAATATATATTTTTACAAAAGAAAAATAAAATCAGCTTTATTCACATTTGCACAAAAAGCTTTTTAGAGACAACAGGATCAAATATACCCACGGATTATGTGATAGTTCAAGTTATTTGTGTTTAAGTTCCACCTCATTTCTTCCTTTAGTATATATTTGGCTCTGATCTGACAATTCATCTTCTACTCTGACAATTAAAATAAAATCTATTATTTGTTTTCAGTGAGGGTGCGTGGCTCAAACTTCCTCCTTGAAGTTTACTGGACTGAGACTAAAGAGTGGAGGCAGGTTTGCTCCGAGGGCTGGAGTGATCAGCAGGGTAAAGCAAGCTGCCATGACATTGGATACACCAGGTGCTCTTAATAAAACCTAAAGAAATACATTTTTGGAAGAGAAAAGATTTGTATTTGCAATACAAACTGTATATCTGCATGCATGTTTTGACAGGGACACATATTTTCAATCAGGACACCAAAGGACTGACTCAAATAGGGGGTTTTTATCAGTGAAGTTAAGCTTCAACCCTCAATCATCTATACTGCAGCAGCTCACCCAGAGGTTAGAGCTGATCAAGAGAGTAAAAGATTCTTAGAAAACTATAAACATAATCTTCTAAATCCCACTATTTTCACCTATTTTAGAAGTTCATGCAAGAACAACAGTGTGGTAACGGTACAGTGTACAGGTATGTATCTTTTTGCTATAATTCCTCCTGTAAAGTCCCCCCCCCTCCCCTAATCTGATTGCAGTCTATGTTTTCAGACTGTGGGAACAGGGAGAACTCCAGCGAAGCCTCTGGATCCCAGCTGGCCTCTGTGGGGTCTTGGCCCTGGCAGGTCAGCCTACATGTTGCTGGCTCTCACAGGTGTGGAGGAGCAATCATTTCACCACGATGGCTCATCACAGCAGCTCACTGTGTGAGCAGGTGGGTGTTTCATTGGGACGCTCTTTAAAACAAGAGCTTAAGTCCAATCCAGTCTAACGCTTTGGGTTTTTCTCCCTCTACAGGACCTCAAGTCCTGCAGACTGGGCAGTGTATGTTGGGATAGTGGACCCATTAGGCCCAGTGTTTAATCCTGCCCATGCTGTGAGTGAAATAATAACACATGAAGGATATAACAGCCAGACTCAACAGAATGACGTCGCTCTCATGAAGCTCTCTGATCCTTTGAACACCAAAGGTACTCATAGATACAATGCCCTGCAGAGTTAAACTCAAACCTATTTGCACATATCCTGAAATCACAACCATAGACATCACTCTTTACTCAGTACCACCTTCTTAAAACAGATTTTTTTAATATTATTTTTTAATAAACATAGGCACCTATAATTAATACTGCTACCAGAATAATTGCAATATAAATCCTGATGTTTTATAAAGTTATTATAGTTTATTAAAGAAAGAATATTGTTAAACATGTTGCATTATAAACAGCTAGAAATATTGCAGACGGGTTAGATCCAAATTTAGGTTGTAAAACAATATCACAGGCTTTTAACATTTTACAGAGGTCAATCTGTCATTTTAAATGAGGTGTATGACACACAGAAAATACCAAGAATTGGCCATCAACCTAAACTGCAGGCCCAGTGTGACATGTAGAAGTACTTTTTGAAAAGAAAAAAGGCAAAATAACCTGTTTTTGTATCTTTCAACAAGCCAAATAGGGGACACTGCAAGTGTGTAAAGGAAGCAGCTGAAGTTTGACGAGACAAACAAAGAATTTCTGGCAGAAAAAAAAAATTCTTTAGTGGAAACTAACATTTATTCCAACTGTAAGACATGGTAGTGGCTGTATCAAGATGTGGGGCTGTTTTTTTTCAACAGAAAAGATGGTAAAATTTGATGGAGGGAAAAATAAAGCAATGTTGGAAATTGTCAGAAGTTCACTTTCCAGGAAGAAGACATTCGGATTAGGGCTAAAACTAGTGATTATTTTGCAAATCGATCAATCTGTTGATTATTTTTTTCGATTAATCGACTAATAACCGGTCAACCAAAGGTTCCTTAAAAATACTTTTTTACCAAATTAAACCAGGTGAAACTAAAATGTTTACACTTGAGGAGTTCTAGATAGAACATTTTGACAAACAAAAAAGTTTTTCTTTTTTTTATCTTAAATGCAAAATGTTTACTTTTTTTTTTTTTACAATTTTGATATAAATACTGCTCTAAGTGGTTTGCTCTGTCAGCTAAAGGCATGTTTTTGAGCCTCTATAATCCAGTTAATGATTATTAGATTACTAAATTAGTTGAATTTCTTTTCAATAATCAATTAATCATGATTAATCTGATTGTTTCAGCCCTAATTCAAAAATAGCTGAAATTAAATTGCTTTAGATCAGAGCGGAGTGTGATCATGCTTTAGAGTGTCCCAGTCACATCCTAGACCTAAATACAAGAAAACAGTCTGACTCAGCTTGAGGTTTTTGTTCATTAAAAGGCTTGAGTGGTTCTTGCAGAGAAAGGTTGATCATCAAGGTATGGATGCTAAGCAGCTGATTAAACATGAACGCTGTACTTCTTGTTTGCAAACAATATTTAAAACCACATACAATTTCTGTCCACTTATTACTTACTTTATGCTATATGCGTTATGTCTGTTAATAAATTTCCATCATGTTACTTTTCCAGAACCCTGTAAAAAATAATCCCTCTGATGAAAATAATATCAATAAAAAGCATTTTTATGTTGCAGCTTCCAGTAAAATCAGACCTGTGTGCCTCCCTAATGCTGGTCTAAACATGACTGACCCTGGAAAGAGCTGGGTGACATACTATGGCCCCACAGCAAACAGAGGTGAGAGTGCCACCACTAGATGGCGCCAGAGTACAACTCATAAAATATGCATGTACTAAAATCTTTGTGGAGAGACAACTAGTTGAGCTGTTTGGTGTCTTTGTAAGATTCTAGTTCTCTGTACCTGAAGGAAGCTCCAGTATCACTCATCCCCTCCGCAGAGTGCAACAGCTCCGAGGCATACAGCGGCAGAATATCCCAGGAAATGCTCTGTGCCACAAAGATAGAAGCAGGAGCCACTATGTGCAATGTAAGACTAATACACACCAATGACATGTATCAAAAACAACTGACAGGCCTGGCCTAAGGATCCAGCCGTACAGCTGCTGCATTGTGTTCAGTTGGGTATCTGCTGAGATGTTATCAATATGAACTCATCTGATGCTGTAAAAGAGAGCACTCAGGCCAACGTCTGCCTGGTTTATCAACCACAGACAGATAGGATTCTGTTCCAGAAAGAATTTAAAGTATTTTTATGAAGTTGTGTAACTGGCTTTAAGACACAGTTAGACAAAACCTGTATTATGCCACGCAGATGGAAACAGATTAAAATAAACACATTTTTGTAACTTATAACAAGCTGCTTATACAGCCATCCTGATAATGGATGTTCAGTTAAAGCTCAGCAGAGGCAGCTGATCATGATCTCACAGTACTGAAAGTATTCAGCCCTCTTCATCGATGAAGGAAATCTCTATCGGACACTTTTCAAGAACATCAGTCTCAGTGTTTCTGTTGAACTTTGGGATCACAGAGTGGTCCTTTGTGATCTGGTTGAACCTGAAGTTGACTTTATTTGTCTGGAACTCCCCTTCAGCCTGACAGCGGGGGTCCTCTGGTGTCCCACATGGATGGGCTGTGGTGGCTAATGGGTGAGGGCGTGTGGGGGGAACACTGCAATGGACAGAATAAACCAGGTGTCTATACCAGCATCAGACACCATCTGGACTGGATCTACTATCAGATGCAGGTAAAAATGACATGCTGATAGAGTATATACTCCTCATTTCCTGTTTTAATTGTAATTGATATGGGTTAACTCTAGTGGTTTTGTTTTTATATTGCTGCTTGTTTTAATTTTATTTATCATATGTGGACAAAGTGTAGAAGAAGAAGCCAAAACAAACCTAAAATATGAAGGTTATAATGGTTAACATGATTAACATTTTGGAATATTTCCTTAAATATTTTTTGGAAGCTAATTATAATGTGAAACAAGAGTAAAACTAATGTTTTGTATCCGCTTTGCAAGTAGCATGGAATCAAGTTCACAGCAGTGTTTCTGTTTTGTTTACAGAAGCATCAAGATGCCTGAAACTGCAACCAAAGAGGATCGGCCTTGAAAAAAGATTTTTGTTCTAACATTTCTTAACTTAAGATTTTAAAGCTGTATTTGTAATTAATTCTGTGTAATACTGATTGGTTTATTACATGAAATAATACTAAATATTTCCATAGGCTCTGAAAAACACAGTATCTAATTACCTCATCACTAGAAAGTCAAAAAGTTTACAAAGAGGAGCTTAATGCCACTCCAGCTTAGTGGGTTTAAATCTGGACTTTGACTAGGCCACTCCTAAAGTTGCTTTAAAGCCTGAAGTTCTCTGAGCTTTAAGTTTGATGTGGTGGAAAATCTGCTTCACAAATTAGTAGCTGAGAATAAATAATTGTCTTATCAGTTTCAGTCCTCCAGTTCCTGAAGAAAAACAGCTCCAGACCAGCCCTCTATTACAATGTTTAAGATTCAAGAAGATTTTCTTTTTCCTGTAATTTTGTGGCAACTTCCACAAAATTCTACTTTTGTCTCTTAATTTTAAGTAGTTCATCAAGGGTAATGCTCAGCAAATGCAACCCTCTCCCTTGGATTTCATTGTACCAAAGATTCTTATTTACTGTTGAAGTGTAAACAGACATCTTACTGAGGCAAATGAAGTCTGCAGTGCTTATGGATTCTTTTTCTGCTCAGATTTTTAAATCACAGATAAGCTTTTGGGAGCCGCCTTTTAAGGCCGACCACTCTTGGATAATTACCGTACTGCTCAATGTTTTATTGGAAAGGACTTTCTAAGCCTATCTCTATTGTTCCAGGTTGTTTTTCCTTTTTTAGATATATTTTAGACTACTACATGCTTTTAGACGCCAGGAATTTACCTTTAAATTTTAATCAGGCCTGGGTGACGCTAATGAATGACATTCAAAATATTATTCTATTCACACAGTATATTAAATAAAATAAAAAAAATATTATTTTAAATATATTCTATTTCCAGTTGCTTGTGTCAAAAATAGAAACATAAATCTAGAAAGAAATTAGGCCTGCATTGTGAAACGTATAAAATATATAAATAATGCATGTTACTTATGACATGCTTTTATTTTGTAGAGTGTTTTCTTTGAGATGATGTGGTACTTATTTAAATTATTAGTAGACATTGTAGCATGACAAGAAGTAATATTAGCATTGTTGCTAATTTGTGTAGCATCCTAATAAATTAAGCAAGAAATACATACAACTTTATATGTCATCAAAATGCAGGGTGAGATGAATTATGTTGGGATGGAGGGATAAGAGGAAAAAAAAAAACAGAAACAAGATTTTTTTTTTCTTTCTTTGGCTCCCAAATATTTATTAATTTAAAATGTCTGATTTGTCCCCAATTTTTTTATTTACAAAACACCTCTGATGTTTAGCACATGAAACATACACAGTTAAATAAAGGAATAATCATGTGTACCTATAGATCAAGTCTTACATGTTCAGCTTTGGGCATCGTTGTTGATTGATATCAGTTTGTGGCTCCGGATTTTTAAAGATGACATTATTCCACATAAAGGTTATTTCCCGATGCAGCCTCAGCAGCGAGACTTGCTGCGTAATAACAGCCGCCGCCTCCTGTGCCACAGTGATGTGCAAATTCTTTTCGCTTAGTAGTCATCAGGTCTGTAAGAATATTTAGTCTTATCAACAATGAGTGGGTATTTTCCAACATATGCACATCTGGAATCCTTCCACTGTAGTGTTTGATTAATTAAATAAAGGTGCTGCATATGAATGGCCTTAAGACTTCAGGCTACAGGGTTGGAAATATCAGCACAGTCAAGGAAACTGAAATACATAAATCTGAACATGAACTGATAAAAATTACAATAACACACAAAAAACTGCATAACACAGACATTGATCTGTTGCTTTGTATCATTCTGTTGATCAACTTCAGAAACAAAGTGCAATTCAGGAGAGTCAATCTCAACCTCCTGATATGGTTTATCAGTTTGTCTGATCAGAGAGCTAGGAAACAAAGGCACTGTAGTTTTTTAAATTATAAATAGTCCTATGAGTGGTTGTTTGAGCAGCTTTAATCCTCCCAAACCTTCTTTTACTCGTGCTCCTTTTGCTCCACTGAAGAATGGAGCAGCAGAACATATAAAGTCCTAACATTCAAATCAAAGAATTGCTTAAAGTTGTGTAGATTGCAAAGATGTGATTTATCTTTATCTTTTTTTATAATTTGGTAGAGCTTTATATGTTATGTCCTGAACTTAGTCAAATACCTTCATCAAGTGAATTCCTCTTCCCATTAGGGGCAAAGGAAAAAACAAAACAACCACAAGGCTTCAGTGCATTCAGGTTAATCCAAGCTATGGTCAGTGCATCATCTTCTTATCTAGACAATGCTCCACTTATTTGATTGGGAAAAAGAAAAATAAACCACCGAGGAAAAAGCTGAGACACATCCGTTCAGCTCTAGCAGCGGTTTTAGGAAGTTTTCAGGAGGCGTTTTCTGAGTGGAATTTCCCTTTGAGAGGCAGCTTATCTGTCTTTTTGTCTACCTCCATGGGTGAAGCTGATGACGTTTTGTCAGGCAGTCGGCGTGGCGATCGGGAGAGACCTCCCTCCCCCTACTCCACAGCTATGGACGGGCTCTGTCCGTTGTTCTCCAGCCCTTTGACCGCGCTTGCCCGTCCGTTTCCCCGCAGTCACTTGATGCGGTGGCGCACCAGCGAGGACTCATCTGTGATCTCCCCACGGTCACCACGCCTGCAGGGCAGGAGCAGCAGCAGCAGCAGGATGATGAGGATCAGGGCGCAGACCGCCACCAGGGCGTAGGAGATCACCCACAGGACGGGCGGCTTCAGAACGCGGCCGGAGCAATCTGCTGCGACGTCTTCTGCTGAGAAGGGCCCAGCGATCTCCGAAACAGCCACTCCATTACTCACTAAAAACAGTCAAGACAGACCCTACTGTTACGTATAACCAGAGGACATAGTGATGAATTTATTACAAACCAATCGCAATCCTACATAAAAACTAGATTGTTATGTAACAACTATAAATTGGGATTACATTTGGGTTCAACCAATAATCTTTAGGTATATAAACACATGTTATGAAAGAAAAACTTCACATGATTTTAAATATCCTTTTTTTTATTATTAAAACTCTGAAGAATGGCAGCCTTTTTATTAAGCCCTGCTTATATCCTTCAAAAACTAGTACAACTAAATAACATTCACTTTATCAATAAATAGTCAAGATTTCTGTGATTTAATCTCACTATAAATACAGCTGCTAGGTGAAAGCCTTAGGAGTATTTAAAAAATATACTGTAATAAGCAAACAGCATCATTGAGAAAGAGGAACGCAGCAGGCTGGGCAACAATACCACATCCTAAGGCTGTAATTCACTAACAATATATATCGATCGAAAGACGTGTGGCGCAATAGAAAAAAAGAGGGTGGATAAAAGCTCGATATAGAAACACACTTTTCCTTCCTTATCATTGTAGCCTACCATGTAGGTTGATGCTACCGTCACCACATCCCACCAACCAATCGTAACCGCGGACTCAGGCATGCCTTCAACAAAGCGCCGCCCTCTCAAACCACAACACAGAGCACATGAAGATGTCGCAGCAGGAGAGGCGGAGGACATTTTCCAAAAGAAGGGTTTTAGTAACTCACCAGTTTTGCAATTTTTCGGTTAAAGCAAGTCAGACAGACACCAAACCACAATGATTTGTAAATTGCAGGGAACCAGTAAAAACAAAGTCTAGTATTTGCATTTTGTAAATCGATAAGCTTTTTTTCTATTTTGTCCAGCCCTACTACATCTTAAGCTTTAGTATCTTACAGCAGTGTTGTGGTCAAGACCACCTAACCCGAGACCAAGACAAGACCAAGACTTTTAGGGT